ATGAGACTTCAAGAAAGCGGCCATACCCTCCCTCCGCACCATCAGCATTACGCATGATGACTGCCAGCCAGGCCAGCTGCCCCGATGTTGTGGATGCCGATGTGCCACGAACATACCGACCCGAAGTGCCGGTACCCCCAACAGGATCCAACTTCCCCCGCGAGCCGCTCCCCCTTTTCGACGACCCGCGGTTGTACTCACGCATCGATCCCGACACTCTGTTCTACGTGTTCTACTATAAGCAAGGATCCGCTCAACAGTACATGGCTGCCAAGGCTCTCAAGGATCAAAGTTGGCGATTTCATAAGCAATATCAAACATGGTTTCAAAGACATGAGGAGCCTAAGAACATTACCGAAGATTTCGAGCAGGGGACATATCGATTTTTCGACTATGAGAGCACTTGGTTAGTAGAATCTCATTCGTCAATTATGGTGATCTAAGCTGACATGAATGCAGGATGAATCGACGAAAAGCCGACTTCAAGTTCGCCTACAAATTTCTGGAGGATGAGGTTTAATCTTAGATTACCCCAACATCCAACGATCGCCTCTCTTTGGTTTGTGTGAAAAATGGAATGGAGCTATGGGTTCGGGCAGTCTGTACTTTGGTTTTGTGACCTCCCGGAGAGGGCCACATTAGGAGCACAGGGAGATAAGAACGGTATTAGCGGCAGCCTCATCTTCTTTCCCTGTCCTCGCTTTTGTTGTTCTTTGGGACAGGTAAATATGCTACAAGGGTCGTTAGTTACCCCATCTTTTGAGAATATGAAATACGAACCTTTCGAGTGCCGGGCTGCAGCCCTGGATGACAAGACCTTTCGGTATATGAAAGCAAATGTGACCGGTCCGTCTGCCTTGTGAATCCTCTGACAGATAGTTATCCACGAAGGCAGGAAGCGGTGAGAAACCTAGTTTTTGGGGGAGTCGGCCACCTCTTTTGTTACTGCAGCCTCATAATCGGTTGGCTTTGAGAGCAGAGACTTTGCTTAGTGGCGCACCGCCATGTTATGTGCCTGCCTTGCTGACATTGTCTCTGGAGCTCCTTAATAAGCCGACCAATGTCGTGCCTGCTGCAATACATCTTTGGTAAGGCGTTCCAAATGATAGATTCTCAATCGACGAACTCAATGTTGAGGTTGCTGCATTGCTGCCCAAGGACTGAGACGACGCCGAATCCCGAGAGCTTCTGAGATAGTATAACTATAAGAATAGAACCAAATTCGGTAGGGAGCCGAATGTCTTGTCATTGATCTTAGGATTCTGCTGTTCCCTTTTCTCCATCAGCTATACAGACGCAACGCCTCGCGTGGGTTGGGATACTGTTACCTTCAACAGGGCAATGCTACATTTGTAGCACATTTTACATCATTCAAACGACGTGGCTCGCGGAGATGACAATTCATTCGAGTGGTCGAGACACAGGCAGATCCTTGCTGTCCTCAGGGTACAAATGCAACTCCAACTGCAACTACTTGTGCTATCTTGAGCTTTCTCATTACTCATTAAGCCTGAGCTGACATGTGTATGACTTGACTGAGAATGCCACGACACAATAAATTTCAAGCTTTACTCCTAGGCGAAAATACTGTTAAGAAAAGGTGTGTGTTATCATCCGAAGTCAAGGCTAGCGAAATGGATGCATCAGTGGCCTTGCCGCCGCCGATACAGTTGCCTCTTTCATATGCATCGGCACTCTTCAGTATGCCTATCAAGTCCTGGCAAGGCAATTTGTTTGTTGGCGTTTGTCAGCCGCCGCATTTGTCGGTGAGGTTTGCTCCTCTACGAATGACAAGCTTGCGGCACAGCGACACAGCTCTGCGCTTGCTGCCATCCATCACCAAAGTCGAAGGATTCATCTGAGAAGAGTCGCCGCCGGCCCCCAACTGGGTCGGAGTTCCCCGTAAGAGTTGACTGGGGTATGAAACGGAACCATTGGATGATAGATCAGGAAGGCTTCTGGAAGACTTCTATGCCCGTCATGCGCTCTTAGAGCTTCGCGGATGCAGATCCATGGATACGAGAAAGGGGCATCATTGAGCGGGCGTCAATTCCGCGCAATGAGCGACATGGATCAGTCTTCCTGCCAGGTTGTCATAGGTAGGGAAGGGTCCTGGGGTGGTGATGTGTCCGATGACCTGGTCAAAAACAATGATTTCATGGCAGGCGAACCATTTTCAACACTCCGCCTGCACTTGTTGTCTGCAACTTCAGACAGCCTCACTTATACATCTCAAGCTCGCCCAGAGACTTAAACCGCGGTCTGTTGAAATGACCGAGAGTGATCTACTCGGAAGATTTCCTGGCGGTGACATGAAAAGGCCGGAGAAGGGTCCGCTAGGTCACACAGATAACACAAGGCGCCCAGACTTGTTCTTGATCAGGCATAGAGACGGTTACTGGTTTTCTTGCTAGCCCGGCGCCTTAGGAGACTGCCTCGTCGATTTTTTGAGACATGTCAAAGTGGCTGCAATGTGAGAAACCGATAGACGCAGGACAAGTTACACAACGCTGAAGGTCAAACAAACAATAAGTGACCGACCGAATTGTGGGGAGCTGTGAAAGGTGTGGTAGATGGGGGAATGACGATACCGGGTTTAATTTGTCTGTGCTTTGGTTGTGTCAGACACATCGAGGCCGTTGAATGCTATTTGCCATTACCTGACAGAATGTTGATCAATCAACTATCCCCAAAACAACTTTATTTTGCTGCCTGCTGAAGCACGATGATCTGTTCTTGGCTATCACCAAAGGAACAGCCACTCAATTGGCGCATCTCCTGAGGTTTCTCCATAGTGTTGAGGCTCGTGCTCGTGCTCGTGCTCATGCTTGTGAACACCGGGCGGCTGTTTAATGGCTTTGCACCACAGAGATCGACATAACAAGCTGGCCTTGCAGTGATGGCGTAGTGCTAATGCGAAGCATCGACTTTAGGCCGCCGCATAAAAGTGCACGATGTGATGCAATAAGCTGGTAGGAAAAGGAGGATTGGGGAAGAGATCGGATGTAAGTGTGGTGGGCTAATATCCTCTCTTTTTTAGCATTGTGATGGAAGATGACCTGTGGTTGCAGTGAATTGGGTCATAGCTTCTCGCCTAGAAGACCAAATAGAAGGGCAGGTACGCAGGGGGTAGCTGCAAAGGAGCAGGAGGGGTAACCAGTGCGATGATGGTAAGTGGAAGTGATGGCAGGCAGGGCAGGTACCACCTAAGGTGCACTGCATCTTTCTTGTGCAGAGACAGGTAACTTTTTCCCTACAGAAGGTACCTACCTCCTATGCTGTAGTACCGGCTCTGCCTTGTTGTTCTGCCACCACCAAATCATCCTCAATTATCCTTCCATCGTCATTTTCAACCTGTCTCCTCTGACCGAAAGTCAAGATAGACGAATCCCGGGTCATGTCGATCTAATTCCTCCCGCTACCGAGAGTCAAAAGCGATGATTACATTCCGCGGCTAATACACACCCTTGCCGTTTCTTGCTGCACCGAAGCTTCTTTGAAAGGTGATCAGGGTCACAAGCATGCAAATGAGTACTGGCCAAGCTAACTTTACCTTTGGTATTGACCGAACTTCGCTGCGCTGGCCTCGCACAGCCCCTATCCTACTGTTGCATACAGCACAGTCAGTGTTCGCTTATCGCTCGTCACCAACTTTGTCTTTACTGTCATCACTGCCGCATCCACTCCCGCAAGCCCGTGCCAGAACCATTTGTTAATTGGTATTCAGCCCCAGCGCATTGCCACGCCCGGTCGCCGCCCAACCGGTAACATCATCAGTTGCCGATACCAACTGAGCATACCAATTATGGGCAAACTAAGCAACCGGCTACCCACAGCCTTCAACCTGCAGCCAAGACGAATCCCCCAAATGGGTTTCCACCCTTGCTTCTGACCAGAAGCTTAGTTCCATACCGTCAATTGTAAAATTCCATTGGACTTATCAGTCTTCTACACACTACTGTCGCGCCATTCACGAGTTCCGTTTAACCCGGAGCTCCGTAAGGCGACCACTTGTTCCTGAAGTGCTCTTCTTGACCTCCGAATGCGCTACGTTAGCTCCTTTGTTACTGTTGCATCGCCCGCCATCTTTCCCTCTTCAAGACACCGGCCAAGAATGCATCATTCTTGATAGGATACCTACGACCTTGACGTGGTCTCCACGCATGCTTGTTGTTGTCTCCATCAAGCTTGACTTTACCCTGGTTCCCACCCAATCGAATAAGTCTCGATTCACTTACACATCACGAGCCAGCATGCGCCAGATGCTGCTGCTTCGCCTTCAACCCTTGTCCTGTGTACTGCATACTGCCCCCTTGCGTTCCTCCAGTCCTCGGTCCTGGAACTGGTTATCTCTTAGCCGTCTGTCATCTAGCTCACTATGCTCTACCTTATCGTGGGTTGGTCCGGGTTCCATAAGTTGGGTTCCCCGGCAGCTACCCCGGTCATGCCCTTAACCCCAGAATGTACTCTGGAACCTTGACGACACTTGCTGGGCCTTGCTGCCAGATGTGGCCGCGGCTGTTTGTGTATGTGAGGTCTCTTACAGTTTCAAGTCCATGCTGCCCTTTACCTTTTGTGTATTACACGAGTGACTCCTAACCTCGCCTCACTGACCAATGTGCGATTTGAGCCTCACCTTGACTGACAACGTCTTGGCCTGTACTAGTGTACTTTCTGCAACACCCCTTCTCTCACATCTCCGTCAAGCATATAACCACCACTCTCGTCCTCTTTTCATTGATTCATTAATCCATCAACATCATATTAATTCTCATGCCACAGACTTCATCTCTTCCATTCCAAGACCGCCATCAAGATATTACTTTGGTTGCGGGCTATACTTGCATGTTCTTTGTATCACTTACAACCTCTCGCGAGCTGATTCATAACTCATCGGCTCGACCTCTCAAGCACCTGTGCTTTCCATATCCCAGCTGATCGACTGGCACAACAAACAGTTTCTCTACGAGAAACAAACTATCAAAATAAAGACCATAACCATGGGCTCCAACCAATGGTACAGCAACGGCTGGTATCACGCCTCTTCTCCCCAGGATCAGGTCTCATCACCTACAGAGTACTTTTCTGGTTACTACCAGTCCCAGCCTATGGCCAGAGATATGAGCTCTGGTAACAGCTCCCAGGCTTCTACTATTCCGGAGTCACCTGTACCGCACAGCCACTATGCTCTGTACGGTTCATCACCGAACAGCTACTCTGGCTACCAACAAACACCAGATTATGAGCAGCAATTCTCTTCAGGGCAAGCCAGGACCGACGAGTCTACCATTCCCCGAAGTGAAACGTACGTATAATCTATGATCCAGCCATGGTTTGTCTCATTGCTAACTCTTGTCTAGTGGTAACGACTGGCCAGTGCAGTGTCTTCACCCTGGCTGTCCTGCTCGCCCTTTCAAGCGGACTGCGGATCTTCAGCGTCACTACAAGAATACCCATGCTCCTGAGTCAAGCAAAGACGTCTACTTGTGTGACTATCCTCGATGCGGTCGCTCCCGAGAGCCCTTCCACCGTCGAGATCACTTCAGAGATCATCTCCGTGAATATCACCGTGAGGATATCCAGAAGCGCGGAGCAACTGTCAACGAGGAATGGCTTGAGGGTCGATATGCGCCCTCTAGCTGGTGGCGTTGCCCACGCTGTCTTGTCAGAGTCTACGTCTCCAAGAACGGCTTCGAATGCCCCGGGTGTAAGACATCTTGCGAGTCTAAGCGCAAGGAGAAGCGCCGCAGCCGATCCTGAATTCTGTGAGCAAGGAAACAGCCTTGCACGCAGAAAAAGCCTACCACAAAGCATCACAAAACATTACACTTGATGGCTTGAAACTACAACCGGCTGAGAGTACGTCCAGCAAAACTATTCAAAGCAAGAACTTCTGCCATGTGTCATCTACCTTTAGGCTGTTCTTGCTTTAGATAGCTCACCGACATTGAATATCTCTCACAGTCAACCCAGCTTTGATGGTGAAAGCCTTAGCTGCAGCTCTTGTGTACATACTGTTACATCAAGGGACAGCAAAACGACACTCAATTCGTCTTGTTTCCTCACATGCATGCATCCCACCCACACCAAACAAACAACGCTTCTGCAGGATATTTCTGTGCCAGGCATTCTCAATCTTGGCACTTGCTCCTTCATTCCTGTCACTTACTACCATAAATGTCCTGGCGATCTGCAGGAAAACGCCCATGCGTTGCAGATCTTATCCCCACTGGGGCGTCTCATCGCGCTGAGGCTGACTTGAGAGAATTGTTCTGGAAGCGGGTAAGGGGGGCAGTCTGTGGGGATCATTTCAGCGTGGCTGTGTATGCACGATGGATGTTTCTGTCATGCTTCCATTCCTTCTTTCGAGTTTCCTTTCCTGGATGGATCTACTGGGGTCTGACTGGGGTTCACGATTCAAGTTGAAGGCACCAAGATAAGAGTGCGTGTTTATTGGCGGGTTGATAACGCAGTGACGTTTGTTACGAGACATGAGGCCAGCACGGTACATAGAATGTGTTATTATATAGACGGCGGGGAGTTTTGTTTTTCTTTTCTCTTTGGTTAGGTAGTATTGTTAGAATTAATGGCGCATTTAGACAAATCATTATTGTATTCCATAAACATCTGAACCCATGATAGCTACATTATGACGCCTCGCTTGAAGATGGCGATGCAACTCGACACTTTGTTTTCTCTTTACTCTCTTTGATGTGTCACATAATGGCAAAATCCCCTGTCCTGAACTTGTACAACAAGGCAAGAGATAAGTGAGTACAATAGTAGGAGATTATCCTTTGCTAGACCATACCCTAGTCACACTACAAGGTTGTGTTCCCCGCCGTGCCCACGAACGTAGTGTCCGGTTTACACGGCTCCGGAGACTCTCAAAACTCTCCCCATGCCACACTGCGCGATATGGCGCACTACATTTCCAGCTCGTGACCACATACGTAACCTGCGGATTCTCAGACCCCGGCTGACGTCTGAGTCACATTTGAGCCATCGATCTTGCTTTGTTTCCAATATGTTAGTCTTCCTCAATTGGATCATCGTCATAGTTGGGCATGGCGCGGAAATCGGGCCGCCCTTTGTCCCTGCGCTTCTTCCATCGTTTCCCATTCTTTGGTTCATAGAAGGTTACGGGTGGTTTATCAGAGGGGGCACCAGCAGCTAATCTTCCAATGAAGAGTTGAGGCTGGTGGAATTTGAACTCGGCCTGTATCGGTTCTGGCGACGAGGGCTGAGCAATGATCGAGCCGTTGGCATCTGTGGTATCTACCCTTGCGGTGACCTCCGAGAGTGACTGATCCTCCAGGTCTGAGTCTGGGTCTGTGCTTGAAGGTCTTCCCATCTCATCGTCCGCGATACCAAGTGTCTGTTTCATCGATAATGAGCTGTCTCGTGACACTGAGGGGGGCTCAGCAACATCACTTCGCGCTGCTGTTGGGCTCGAGGCTAGTGGTAAATCCTGAAATGTACAAGGACTATTTGTCCTTTCGAGACCCAGTTCGCGCCTGGTCTGCTCCTTCGCCTCGTCGAGGGCTCTGCGGGTAGTCTCAGCGATATTGTTATCGAAAACAAACCTTTTCCAAATTTCGTTCTCGTCTTCCGGATTTAGTGTCGTCTTCCTGTCAGTGTCCTTTTCAGTCACTGCTCCATTACTGTCTTCGTTCTCACTTAATAAGTCTAGCAAGTCTCGACAATTGGTAGTCTTGTGTGGATTTGGCCGAGCCGAAAGTACCCAGTCACTTCGGCGCTTGACACAGGCATGCCGTCTATCATGGTTCAGGTTCTTGAGTGGTTCGTGAGTTTCTAGAGTAATGGGAGAAGGTGAGTCGTCTTCTGTCTGTACTTCAGGGAGTTTTGGTTCGGAACTTAACACCTCGTTTTGTATATTGTCAGATGAAATGGCATTAGACGACCTGCTTTCGCATGATTGTAGTTGTGGCTCATCAGTTTGACTCAGCAATCTCTGTCGTGTAGTTCGGGGTTGGACCGGGCTTTGTGTTTGCGAATGTTCCTCTGATGAGTTCCAAAAGTGGCTGATTCCAGGGCTAATAGACCTTGGGGACTCGCTCATTTCGTTCGTTTGAGCTGGCTCTTTTGATGATATTATGGCCTTGGAGTTCAACCATGAATTCCACCGTATATCTTTGGTAGTGATACGCTTGGAAGATCGCGTTGGAGCGCCCAGAACAGCAGTGGTACTCATATTCTCCTCCAAGTCAGGTGAACGTATGTTGAACATCGAGGGTTGTGTCCCCTTGGTCGGTTGTGGTTGATGTATGATAGCTATGTGAGCATTTGCAACGAATCTCGGTTTATCGGACTCCTCCCGCCTATTCAGTCCTCGGTTACTATTTCCATGTGTAGTATTCAGGGCGCTCTTCGAGAGGCTTGATAGTTTGTTTCGAGAATCAAGCCGATCCGGGCTATTGTTGCACTTTCGGGGCCTTATTGTAACCCTTGTAAGTGTTTGTACATTCGGTGGTAGTTGGTAAGGCGGCATTGTTCCTATGTTCAGTGATCTATCTGGGCTCGAATCAATGTGACCAGGGAGGCCTTGTCGTGTGTCAAAGCTTCGCACAGAGCTGCTTTCCCAGCTCCAGCGAAGGTGTTGACTTCCGATGTTGATTCTCATTTCTTCGTTAGACAGTCCACCCAGCGTTCTCTTATTATAGTGGCCATATTGATCGTGTGTTGGGGGAATAAATGTGAGATCTTGCCTGAAGTTGACGGTTCCTCGTGGTCGGGGAGAACGGTCTTTTCGCCAAGTAGAGTTTGCCACCAAAGGCTTCTGAGTGTTTACACCCGTCCAGTCATCTTTTTCAAGCAATTTACGCCTTTTGACCGCGATGTCCAGTTCTTGATGGTCTTTCTTGGACTGATATGCCGGGGAAAGTTCGCCACCAGGCTTCGGGAGTTCAACGTTGATACCCTGAAAGAGGTCGCGATGAGGTGTTTTATTAGCATCATTCTGCATATGTATGAGTTTTCTCTTTGGTGTTTTTTGTTTCTTTGCGGAAGTCGAAGAGGCCGAGTAGTGGTCCTGGGGTTGTTGTGGTTGTGACTGCTTAATGTAATCGGGGACAAAGGATACAATGTCCAGGCCTTTGCTTGATGAGGGGGCATTCTTCCTGGCTCTGGCTTTGGCAAAGTATTGTTTTTGCCGAGCGGCGTCCTTGTCCCAGCCTTTACGGCGAGAGTGGCGAGCCAGTGCACCTTCAGTCCAATTCATGTTCGCCAGAAGGGAGATAAGGGTTATGTGAAGAAGTGAGACGAGCAGAGACCAAGAGCCTTCATTTAAGATTTCGAACCTGGCTAGTACGTGGTCCAGTAACTTCGGGAAGTTGGTCGGACCTGTAACTGCCTTAACACCTCTCAACACTAACTTGGGCATCACTCGAGGAAGGTCCAATGGGAGACGATTAGGCAACATCAATCGCCTTATCACTCGATTCCAACCAGCCAGAATTCCCAACCACTCCCACATGTTTGGTGTCTATCTACCTCCATAGTAGAGAATGACCGAATTACAGGTAGTGTAATTGTTGATCAAACATCTTCTAGAACCACGATAGGCGAATGCAACGCTGTTGAGCCTGATCCGAGACGATTTTAACAATAAAGTGTAATTGCCTCAAACAAAGAGATTTTGAGCTCTGTAAGTGAAAGAACTCTATCGCTTTTCTCTGCGTTACATCATGAAGTGATGAATACTCCAATATACAGAGGATGGCATAGGTTCACTTACACAGATTGATGTACAGTGTGTTTTGCGGGTTATGCCACTACACACGGTGCTCGCACAGGCCAACTAAGCTTCGAGACGATGACAGTGGGGGAGCTCCCTTCGATCCCGTCCCTGAAACGTGGAGCTGCATTTAACATCTAGCGCCAAGACGACACATTTCACTAATAACCACAACTATCATTCTGCGCAAGACGAATCCTCTTTATATTTGCGCTCACTAAACTATCGTCATGGCCGACGCAGAGGAAAAGGCCCGCAAGGAGAAGATTGCCGCCGCCAAGAAGCGAGTCCGTTCGCCCCTCCCTTCTTGTTCCATCACACGACTAACTCAATGCGATTCAGGTCGAGCAAATGAAGAAGAAGAAGAAGGCCACTCCAGCCAAACAGACAAAGACAGAAGCAACCGAAACCCCTCCGCCTGAGCCTGCTGAGGAGAAAGCCGAAGACACTCCTGTGGCCGAAGAGAAACCCGCCGAAGAACCTCCCAAGAATACAGATGAGCCAGCAAAGGCGCCTGCCAAAGAACCAAAGAAGCCACTCAAGATCGAAACCAAAGACGAAGATAACAGTGATAGCGACAGCGACAGCGATAGCGAGAGTGATAGCGACGACGAAAACTCGCCTGCCGCTACCCCATCCCTTGCACAACAGTCAAAGTTGAGGTCTACATCTTTCCGCGCCGGCTCTACTCCTTCAGGAGGGGCAGCATCTCCTTTTAGTCCCAATAGCGAGACTGCACCGGATATCTACAGAAAGCACCTAGCTCGGATTGAAGAGCTGGAAAAGGAAAACAAGCGATTATCTAAAGACGCTGCCGATTCCGAGAAGAGGTGGCAGAAAGCTGAGAATGAGTTGGCCGACATTCGCGAGGCTGAGGGTGAGGAAAGTGGCAAGACCGGCAGTCACGATGATGGTCTTGTGGATAGCTTGGTAAGTAATGGGCCTGTCGCTTGCTCTTAAGCCCGCTGACACTTTCGCAGAAGAGCCAAATGGCCGCCCTCGAACGTCAAAACGCTCAGCTCCAACAACAGGTGTCGCGTGGACCCAGTCATGGCCATCGCCAATCCGTATCAATGGCTACACCACCAGCGGATTTCAAAGCTGAATTAGAGGCCAAGACAGCGACCATTGAGTCTATGGAAATTGAGATTTCAAAACTCAAAGCCCAGGCCGAGCGCCATGCCAGCGGATCGTCATCGGAAAAGGAGCAGGTCACTGCTCTCGAGGATAAACTTGCGCGTGCTGAGGCCGCGGCAGGCAAGGCTCAGCGCGAGCTCCAAGACCTCAAGCGCAACCTTGAGAGAACAGCAGAGAAGGCAGTGCGCGAGGGCAGCGAGCGTACGAGTGCTGAAACCAAGGTCAAGACTCTCGAGCATGAACTTGAAGAAGTGAAGAATGCGCGTGACGAGCTTGAGAAGAAGGTCGAAGCCTTGGATAAGAAGGCCATAACGCTTACCACATTACACAAGGAGCAAGATTCTCGTCTACAAGCAGTTAAAAGGGAGAAGGAGAAAGCGGAACAGCAAGTCACTGAGTTGCAAGAAAAGGTTGAGAAGCTAGAAAGTGAAAACACAAAACTCAAGAGCCGCAAGTCTCTAGAAGGCGGCGGCGGATTGGACGACGAAGGTGTTGATGAGCTTGAGGATGAGGAACGCCAGAAGCTCGAGAGAAAGATTCGTGCTCTCGAGAGTGAGGTTCATGAGCTTCGAAGTGGGGCATGGATCGAAAAGCGTCGTGAGCTGGAAGCAACAAGCCCAGGCTTCCAAGACGTCGACCTCTCGGGACAAGCCATGTCTCCAACTCATCGAAGGAAGTCCGGCGCTGGTGGAATCGGTGATTTCTTCACAAGTGGCCTCAATGCACTCGCTGGAGGCGGTGACGATGAGTTTCTCGAAGATGATGATATGGACTTTGATGAAGATGCGTTCCGCAAGGCACAAGAGGAGGAGTCTAAGAGAAGAATCGAGCGAATTAAAGAGATCAAGCGATCACTCAAGCATTGGGAAGGCTGGAGGTTGGACATTGTCGACATCAGGAGAGGGGGTAATGAAGGCGTGGGTGAGATCTTTGATGTTTAAGATGAACGTCGTTATTTAGTGAAACGAGCTATGAGGATGGGATACATACTAGAATAGAAATATTCCGAGATGATATGTGGACAATTTCTTGATGATTTACTTCACTAAGCTCGCATTCAGTCTTATATCCAAGCATTGCCTAGCCATGCCCTAGGTCAGTCGTATACGAGATGACAGTCAAAAAACAAGACATGACTTTGTGATAGCGGTCGTTAAATTATAGTAAGATCTAGTGTTTAGACCTATATTCTTTTAGCTCCCGATTGCCATAAGCAAATAGAGTCGGCGAGCAAGGCAACAGAAAAGGTAGTCTAAGCATCAAGGTATAAGAGTAAACAACCCAAAGAGTCTGGTATAAGCGGCAGAAACTGGCTTTAATTTCGTCTCGAATGTTATCGCGGCCAACTTTCCAATACACTGAGGGAGAAGACTGTCGATACTATTTCTGCCATTTCGCCTAAACAATACGAATTTGTCTCGGCATTTCATACCTTTTGTTTTCTGTTCGGACGATGACCGTAAGGCAATATGTTGTCCCCGATGACGGCGCGGAGAGTGGATACTCGACCGGAGATCCGAGACGGAGAACGGAAATGCGTTCCGCGCCGAGATGCAAAGCTCCGCGGCAAGTTATTACCGGTAAGGTTTGTCAATTGAGTTAACAGGACTAATGTTAGTTGAACGGTATTGAACTGGCAAGCATATAGCCGTAGGGCTGTTCAGGTCGAAAGATGGTGTCTAGGACACTATATGTTGCTATAAACATCAGTAATATAGTATCGTGTGACGCATTCCCTCGGGGATAGTAATACCGAGATGAGGCAAAAACGAGAGCGGCTGTCATGCACGAGATGCAGTGCCTAATCCAAAGCCAAGAAAGACACGACCCACTAAAGCGGGGGACTCAATGCGGAACCCATCTATGCTAGCGTTAACCGTCGAGACTGGGACTGGCTAGAGGCTTTTCCCCTCTGCTTGCAGCTCTTGATGAGGTGCCCCAGCTCGGTCAGGTACCGAGCCTCATCACCAAAGAACCTGGCAAGAAGAGTGCTCGAGACACGCCCTTAATGTTTGGGGGTGATGAGATGGAGTTTCTGCGCATCCAAAGACTCTAGAAAAGTATCGTGAGATTGAACAACAGAGCGTAGGTTGAGCTTCATGTGGACGGGAACGTCATATGTATACACTTTAGATAGAGCCGATAAACCCCTGTCGTAGCATGCGATTGTCTAAAAAGATCATGTCAGCCATGTTATTTTCCCGCAACATCCGTCTTCGGAAGGCCGTTGTCGGCAGAATGAAGATGAATATCCTTTGAGTTCTTTTTATCTATCTCGGCTGAAGTCCCATCTTTGCATCATCATCATCATCATCATCTTGTTCTTCTTTCTTCAGCAGCTTCAACTCGGTAGCAGAATTTATTGTCCAGAAAACTACGTTTTTGTAAGTGCATCTTTCTATGTCATGCCTAGCTTTCATGAGAGGTCAGAGATCAGCCACAAAGAGCTGTCATGATACATATCGTCATGGACCAACGAGACACTCTCATTCTCCTCCTCTCTGATCTCTACATTTTGTCAGGACCTTATTCTTCACACCCTTTGACCCTTTGGAGAGAAGAAAGAGGCAATTTTCAAACATAGATCGTCTCATACTTTTGTTTTCCCCTCTTCTAGTACTGCTTCTTACTCGCGCAACTGCAACTAACACCTGATGATTCCCCCAGCTTCAGACATCCAACTAGCGGCACCTCTTTGATCAAATTCACCCCGTCTCATTGGGGGGGCAAGGTCACATCAACTTACCCCGTATTCTTCACATCGCATCGCATCGTCGGTTTTCCTCTCGGTCGCCGCCACAGTAACCGGCTACTTCCTCGGCTGTCACTGTAAAAGACCCCAGGCACCTTCCTGACCCGACCCTCCGATCTCCACCTCCGAACCCCAAACCAACCGCCCCTCCCCGCGCTTGTTTTATTGCTGTTGCAATACAGCATCCCAAAGGAAGGACCTTCCTTTAGCTCAAGTCAAGCCCGTCAATCTCCCGGCGACGATTCCCGAGTCCGGTTCCCGTTCTCGTGCAGTGACCCTTCTTACTCTTTTATAAACCTCCACCCTCTTCTTTTTCTTCTCTTTTCTGCCCATCATGCCCGTCGCTGCTCTCGCCTCTTCCGTCTCGCGATCTCTATTCTCGTCTTCGTTGCGCCGTGCCGCTTATACTCCTACCACTATCCGCCCTGTTCGCGCTTCATTCGGTGCTATTCAAACCATCTCCCCATTCGCAGTCCGCACAATGGCTTCCTCTACTCAGAAGATCAAGGTCAAGAACCCCGTCGTCGAGCTCGACGGTGACGAGATGACCCGCATCATCTGGCAGGTCATCAAGGACAAGTTCATCCACCCCTACCTCGACATCGACCTCAAGTACTATGATCTCGGTCTTGAGTACCGTGACGAGACCAACGATCAGGTCACCATTGATGCTGCCGAGGCCATCAAGAAGTACTCTGTCGGTGTCAAGTGTGCTACCATCACTCCCGATGAGGCTCGTGTTGAGGAGTTCAAGCTGAAGAAGAGTAAGTCCATACCCGTCCAGCGTTGTCTTAGTTCGCGCTGCGTCTTGCTCTTCTCCGCCACCAATCGCAACCCCGCATGCATGAGAACATGCAGGAGAAGCGACACGAGGGGCAACGAGCAGGAACATGACGAATCAGACATACAGTAAGCTTGATAAGATTGAGCATGGCTAACTTGCATGTCCAGTGTGGCTTTCTCCCAACGGCACCATCCGAAATGCCCTTGGCGGTACCGTCTTCCGTGAGCCCATTGTCATCCCCCGTATCCCCCGTCTTGTTCCTGGCTGGAAGAAGCCCATCATCATTGGCCGTCACGCCTTCGGTGACCAGTACCGCGCCAAGGATGCTGTCCTGCCCGGTCCTGGTAAGCTCTCCATGGTCTACACCCCCGAGGGTGGCCAGCCCGAGGAGATTGAGGTCTTCCAGTTCAAGGAGGGAGGTGGTGTTGCCCAGACTCAGTACAACACCGACGAGTCCATCACTGGATTCGCTCACGCTTCTTTCAAGCTCGCTATTGACAAGGGTCTCCCTCTCTACATGAGCACCAAGAACACCATCCTCAAGAAGTACGATGGTCGCTTCAAGGACATCTTCCAGGAGATCTACGACACCACCTACAAGAAGGATTTCGAGGCCAAGAAGATCTGGTACGAGCATCGCCTCATTGACGACATGGTCGCCCAGATGATCAAGAGCTCCGGTGGTTACATCATGGCTCTTAAGAGTGAGTTTTCCCACTTGGAATAGCTGAACACTTGTTCAGTCATCCACGTTTCCTTCAATGCATAAGATCAATACTAACAGCTTTCCAGACTACGATGGTGATGTCCAGTCCGACATTGTCGCCCAGGGCTTCGGCTCTCTCGGTCTCATGACCTCTGTCCTCATCACCCCCGATGGCAAGACCTTCGAGTCTGAGGCTGCTCATGGCACCGTCACTCGCCACTACCGTGAGCACCAGAAGGGCAATGAGACCTCCACCAACCCCATTGCCTCCATCTTTGCCTGGACCCGTGGTCTTATCCAGCGTGGTAAGCTCGACGACACTCCCGAGCTCGTTGCCTTCGCCGAGAGCCTCGAGCAGGCCTGCATTGACACTGTCGACATCGACGGTATCATGACCAAGGATCTTGCCCTTGCCACTGGCAAGTCTGAGCGCAAGGACTATGCCACCACCAACGAGTACCTTGATGCTGTTGAGCGCCGCCTCAAGAAGACCCTCAAGGAGAAGCTGTAAACATCTTTACAATGATTCCCAGACTTCCCCTAATCACTCAATACCTTCCGCTTCTGGTCTCTTTTACAACTGCAAGAGCACACTCTATCTTCAGGCATCGGCGTCGAATTTGTTGTCACCGTCTGAATTGCATCTCACTCCAACAAACCACAAGAGCCTCACCTCTTGTGGCTTCTTGACCATCCATCTTCTCAACGGAAAAGAAGATGGCGTTGTCAAGTGCATCCATGCACCGGAACCCGCTGCAAGGCCACATGCAGCGAGCTAACGATTTATGAAGAACGTTCTTCCATCGTCATTATGGTTGGATAGGATGTTGGGCTTCTGAATATGTGAAGGCAAAGATATGAAAGAGGAGGTCAGCATGATACATCCTGCATAGTTCAGGGGAGTAGATGCGATGTAGATAGAAAGCTTCTTGCTCTTAGCACATAGACATAACGGGATACCCAGCCCTGCTTTATAGTTTTCCGCACCTCACTGTTCCCTGGCCTGTTGACATTATGACTCCCTAATCCCCATAGTACACTCTTCCCTAGTCCCCCTTAGTCGCGGAGTAACGGAGTCATAACACGAGCTTGAACAAAGCTTAAAGCAAATCTATTGGATCTTGCCATCCCTGCACCTCATTCTCTCACATGTACAGTACATCATCGCACAGTTGCTCTCTTTCTGCCGCTTCCTCACAACGCCTCTTTTTTCATTTTGCTTGCTATCAAACCTCGGTAGTTGTCCGTAGCTAGCGTAACCGACACCCAATCTCCAAAAACAATTCCCTGATTGAGAACAAAAAAGAAACATCAGTAGCAAAGAACTCCCTTATTTCTCCGTCCCCTCCCTTCCAAAAAAAAAAAAATGAACCCCAGATTCCCTCCCCGGAGAGTGCCTCGGCTTAAGCCCGCACGTGTGTACACATAAGGAAATGGATCGTGTAAAGAGGGCTGAATGTGTAAAAATGAATAGAATGAAAATGATACCCGTAGACCCGGGTCGTTCCGGTCGAGATGGCCCTCGGTTGGCCGGAAGGAACACCACGAGTTGTGGAGGCATGCGATTGTGATGCTGGGGTTTGGTTGTTGTGTACGTACGTACGTACATACGGATATCCGTGAAGCTTCATTCTTGATTTCGATAGTAATACATGTCATGGTGTAAGCTTTCACCATATAGGGGAGCGGCTATTCTCGCTCCGAGCGAGATCTTCCAAAGACTGTCTAAAACTAGTCGGCTTGAGCGACAGATGCCTCCTTTTCCTTCTTTGGCTTGCGCGCACTAGGTGTTCCCTCCGCTTCGCTCTTACGCTTCTTCTTTGTCGGTCTTGTCGATGAGCCGCGGGGCTTGTATCCGGTGTCGTCTTCATTATTTCTCTTGCGCTTACCGCGGCTGATGGGCGTTGAAGTAGCGTCTTGTTCCTCGTCCATACTGGCATCAACATCACGTTCTGCTGCGGCTGCGCGAACGGCTGCACTGACGCGCTTACCCCTTGTGCTCGCCTTTCCACCACGCTCACCTCGTGACCCGCGCGTCTTGCGCCCACCGGTATGACCACCCTCGTTGTCGTCTGCATCACCGTGTGCTTCGCCGTCTTGGAGGAATATCTTGGGGGCGTGTTTACGCAGCCAATTCGTTACACTCGTGGGATTCTTGAGATGCGGGTGTGAGAGATGATGGTTGCCGGGGTGGGCGCGAGGGGCGAGCGTGGGGAGGTGCTGGGTGCCGTTATCGAGAGCCATGTCGATCTCGTAGATGTAGTTATCGATGTCATCGGCGGATAGGAAGTCGGCTGGGAAAGCTTCGCCGTCTGGAGCCTTCAATTCGCCAACGATTTGCGGTAGTGTCTCCTTGGCAGTGTTGAATGTCGAGTGTGGGACAGTCTTGACGAGATCTTCGAGCCTTTTCCTTGGAGTGTCTTGACGTAGGTTGTATTCTTCATCCAGGGGCAGGACAGGCGCTTTGGAATCTGATGGAGGCTGAAGGGATACCTCGACCTGCTTCTCGGGAGGAATCTGCGGGGAATTGTTGATATCAAGTAATAGATCCAATAGACGACTGTTGATGTTATCGTTAGTAATCCCTTCGCAATTGGGTAGCTGAACCTGGGAAACGGTACTCATTCTCTACAGCCAAGCGCTTGACGAGCGCCGCGGCCTTGTCCTCTTGCTTGTGTAGCTCCTCGCCGTCATGCATCTTTTGATCAAAAACGATGCGCATCTTTCTATACTTCTTCTTCCATGACTTGTAGCCGGCGCGATGGCGAGAGGCGCCCTCGGTTTTAATGGGGGTCTCGTCCATGGCGAGGGAGAGAGCGAGGCGCGACCGGGATGCGTAGATATCGTCAATGAAACGCGCAAAGATTGAAGTTCGGGGGGTGGTTGGTGATGATGATGCGCGCGTTGTGTTGTTGATAAAATTGGGAATTGATGATGCTCGTGATGTTGACACAAATGGAAATAATGAAAGGTTAGTAGGCAGGGTTTTGCCAATAAGATTTGTTGGTTTGGGGCCTGGCCTTGCGCAACCAAGTTCAGACACGAGAAACAGGTGGTGTTGTTCTCGGATTAGATCGGTACGTACCTTACAGTAGCTCAGGTACACCCTAAACTGGTATGGAGCTGGCCTGACTACCCCAGGTGAGCTGCACAGTCTGGTTCAAATGTTTTTTGACTCAATAAAGAGTATTAAGGATATTGATAGCTTAAATATTTTTATGGATGTATTTTAGACCGGCTTAATTAAGTTGGTTATAGTATATTTCTGAAGAATTCGGGTGCCTGGTCTAGGGTAGGCCAACATCAAAATTGGTACGAAGCAAATACAGCGAACATTAAATAGAGTACTGTTTTCAAGTAAGAAAGGTGAATCAGAGTCAAGTCGTGTGTTGAACTGTCACAATTATGTATGTATACATCTGGGCATCTTGGTGATTATATCGCAAAGCAGGGTATATTTCTCGGACGGGCTTTAGCTTCCGAATCTAAAGTTTACTTGGTACTTTCTCCCTAAGGACTGCTCATCTTTAAACTCTATCGCATTAGCCATTTCTGTGCCACCGTATACAATCCTCTTCTTTGCCTTATTGCCTCCTCCTGTATAGTTCGCCTCCCTCTATATAGGTCGCATTCTCCTATGTGGCTTACCCACTCCTGCAGGTTGTCATACTCATCCATGCTACCACCACCGTAAACGACAGCTTCGCTGAAGCCCTGTCATTAACCGCTGAAAGCATAAGAGACGAAATTAGTAGGTCACTTTATATTCCTTAGAGTATAGGTCTAGGACTAATTATGTTTATAACCTAAGACTTAGGATCCACTAATCCCCATATCATGATGCGACCTCCTTTCCTAGCGTGATCAGCTCGTCTTTGATGAATTCTGCGGCATTGATCATTTCCGTGCTGCCGTACACAACCCTCTTCTTCGCCCTGTCGCCTCCGCCTCCTCGGCTCACCCATTCCTGCAGGTTGCCGTATTCATCCATGCTGCCTCCACCGACTGTGAAGACGACAGCTTCGGTGAAGCCTTGCCGCCTTTGTCCAAAGCTAGCAGTTTGGCCAGGTACTTGAGATCCAGGCATACCGCCAGGCGTGCTAGTGCCTGCGCCTGATCGGACAGCGCTAGGAGGAGGCATAGTGCCTCGAGCGTTGGCGGACCGAGGATCGTAGTAGAGGAAGTGCTCTGTCTTGGCAATGGCAGAAGAAGAGGCAGAAGAAGGGTCCATGATAGACTCAACGATCTTGGTAACAGTAAAATCACGATCAGCAGGAAGGAAGTTCTTCACACCACTGATAAGACTCTCAAAATTGGACGACAATCCGGTGGGAACTCCTGATTCCTTGAGTCGGTCGGTGAGACGCGAAGACATCGAAGAGAACCGCCCAAAGAGATCTGATGTCTGAGCCGGTTGAGCGGTGTTATTGTTGATAGTGGTAAGTTGTGTCATCTTGGTAGTTGCGCGAACCTGTCGAACATAGGGCAGACATGAGACATCTGCACCAGCTTCCGAGAGAGCCTTCTCAAAGCCCTCGAATTCTTGTCGGTTAACTTCTTGCTCAGTACTCAAGAACCAGATGATGAACAGTCGCAGTTTGTCGACAGGCTCAGTGCCCTTGTTGTCGTCCTTGATAATCTCCATAATCTGAGCCTTGGTTTGCTTCACAACGTTCTCCTCCAACTGGAAGTAGTTGTCGAGCTGACGGTCTTTAATGCCTGTCAACAAAGCTGCCAAGATATTCATATGCATATCCAGAATGCCCTTGCGTTCTCTCATTTCGGGAAGTAGAGTTATTGCCGCTTTGAGATGTTGAGCGCTGGCACTAGTATCGGCTTGGAGGTCCTCGAGATCCGTAACACCAGTTTTCTTTGTGATCGCAGCTGTATCCTCTTTGTATTTGGTCAACTCAGCATCGATGTCCTCCGCCACTTGAGGGAATGGACTGCCCGCATTCTTGGCCCAGAAAAAGTCGTTTGTCGTCAAATCGTAGCCCTTCTTGGTAGGTCCCTTTGCTGCCGGATTTCCTTCTTCCGCAGGAGTTTCGATAGTGATGCGATTCAACTTCATATTGAGAACGTCATGAACCAGACTCTGATATGTCCAAGAATGGGACAGCATGGGTATCAAATCAATGTTTCGGTCGAGAAGGATGAGAACAGGTCGAGAAGAGTGAGTGCCGGATGATGCATTTGGCCTAGGTCCTGAAAAGAGGTTGTCCTTGGAGTTGACAATATGATCGCGAAGCTTACGATCAAGTCGAGCAGCGACCATCTCAGCAGCAGCGCCTTTGGGACATCGAATAATGGGAATAACACCTGTTAATATGTCAGCACACTGCTTTTCGAGTCAGACCTTCGACGTACCCATGGTGGCGATCACACTAAAGAGACCGCTCACGATCTTGTTCACTACTCGATCGAGCTCCTCATCGCTGGTGGCTGCACTGTTCAATGCCCAATATGTATGCTCCTTTTGCATACCCAAACTGAACAAGTCCGGTTCAGCCACAATAAAGTTCAAATACTGATCGAACAACTGAGCAATGTGCTCGGATGTACCTGCTGTGGCTGTTTGTGTTGCAAAGTCCTCGAGAAGTACACGAGGGAGGGAGGAGAGGAAGTTGATGTGAGCGGGTGAGTATAGGCCTTTCTGCAAGTCGGAGGTAATGGCCTGCAGGTTTTGCGAATTCGGCTCGAGGAGGTAGATGACTGGAACATCGGGGATAGGGTGTCTTGCGCCGCCAATATGCCTGCGCCGCCTGTTAGCTTTGTATTTCTTCCATCGTGTTTGACTTACATGTGCATTGTTACGCCCATAGCGCGCAAGTCGCTGACACGCATTACGCTACTGATAACATCTCGGCCAAGATCGTCAAAGACCAGGACTTTCCAAATAGGGTTGCCATCAGCGTCGAGAATGGGCGCAACAGGAGCAAGCAGACCGTTGGCATGCGCCTCGTCAGCTTCGGAGGATTCGACAGTCTCGTTCAGGTTGAGCATTTTCTTGAGCGATGCTAACGAATACGTTAGCGGAGGGTCAAGAAGCGCTCTGAATATGACGGAACAAACCTATTTGGCGATCGCGAAGAGAGTTGCCTTTTGTCGCCATGTTGGCGAATGACGTCGGGCGCCTGAGATCTCAAGAGTGGGATGTGATGTGAAGTTCAGGAGTTGTATAAGGAAATCTGTAGGTTGACCGTGTTGGAAAATCGCAGGCCAAAAGTATGAATTATGGGCTTCTCAGATAAGCGCACAAAAATTATCAGTCAATCTTGGGCGTGAGAATTGTATCGCTTGATGCCACTTGAGGCCACGATCCAATACCAAAGACCTGGACTGTTGAGAAGCTCCCTACGGCGCGCAAGCTGGAAGCACGGACCGATACAAGCACCGACGACGATTGGACATGGAAAGTGCCACGGTGCTGGGCCCGCCGAGTTGCAAGGGGCAAGCCGCTGATGAGGCAGTTCGAATTGTGGACCTTCCTTCCTTATGCCTGATATTGCGGACTTATGATAGCATTTGGTGCCTGAAAATTGGGGCCAGACTCTCTCTACACGTCCAGCTTGCGAACTGCCAGGGACTTCTTTTCATTCTCTTTGATCCGACGACACCTCATCAACCCCCATCATCCATCGCGACAAGACGCTGTGTCGGCGCTCAGCTAAGGCGCATTTAAATATCAGCGGCGCTTAGTATTCCGGATCCGATTATTTTCGTGTTCATTTTTTTCCATCTGCGCCTGCATCGTTGCCTCGCACTGGCGAACTGACGGGTCGCCCTTGTACTGACTTTGTCTTCTTTCTACCTCCCCCCGACAGGTCACGCCTACGTTCGATAATGTTGTAAACACCACGCGACTTGCGCAATACACAAATGGGATAGGATTTCTCTGCATCTTTTGGTAGGAACGGACAAAGCTCCCGTATCGAAGGAACGGTTTCTGAATCAAAGGGTATGCTCAAACTTGACCCCGTTCCCTTTCCCTATCTGCACCAATCAACCACATTACCTCTGTCGCGTCATTCTGCATGGCTCGACCACCCCATCAAAATCAAGCAGCAGTATTGTATCCGTGATTTCTCTATAACAATGGAAACAACCACTCGGACTCTGCAGCATTTAAATTGCAAGCCGATGAGATGGTGACCGTCATGGAGACTGGCTTGGAGATAAAAGCTCCCCCGTGTCGCCTTCTAGGAGCAGAAAGCTGCAGTGACTGGGTAACCAAGATGCCCATGTGGCAAAATCTCGGTGTATACAACCTGGCCAGCTTAGAAGCTACGCGAGCGCGAACCTAAAAAAGCCGCGACTCAAGTGTTTTGATGATAAAAGAAGCATCCAGACAAGGCCAAAAAAAAAGGGCATTCTGACTGATGATCATCGTCTCGCGACGTTGCAGCATCATTCAATCTGCTTGCGTGGTACAGGGGCTGGGTGATAACGATAACGCTCCGTCCAGCACCCTCAGCACCAAAGAGACCAACATCTCAGGGACCATACGCGCTAAAATGCGGGTGCACACACATCTCAAGAAACAGTGGCTCCACCATCAAAGACCTCTCCAGAATGTCGCAAACGACAAGTCGATTCCATTTTTGCAGACAGAGTCACTGTATATGGCGAGAGTTTAATTTTGGTTCTGGAGCTTATATTTTCATCTTTTTTCTGGACTTCTTTGTCACCCACCCATGACAGTCTTTGTCCGACCACAGCAAGCTACCTATTTTTGACTGCTGATGGCCTGCTGGATGGATGCTCTTTATCATCACTTCACGTCCATAATCTGCGTCTTACTTCTATTTCTTCTGCTGCTTCCTCTTACTTATCAAATAACAGTTCTCACTCGCTTTCCAATTCTTTTTTTGCTGGCCTTGCTGATGGTTCTTTTGATTCCTCTAGACTACAGATTCACATTCACCTTGTCTTCTTCTTCTCCAAGACCTGGATCCCTGCCAGTTCGTCCGTTTGTTACCTAGCGCGTTTTTGTGGTGGGTCGCCTGCAGCTGCGATAGCCGACAGCTTTCCCTTAACAAAAAGACGCCTGCATAAAGTTACTTTCCGGCTTAAATCTTCATGTTAGTACCTTTTTTCCTTACACGCTTGATAATTCATTCTTTACATGTAACCACGACTACGTCAACGCCTAGCCGCAGGCTGTCTATTCACATCACACACACCTCTCACCTTTACTGTTGTTCTATCGACTGCTCCTCTCTGCATTGCGTCTTGTTAGCAATACATTTCAAAATAGCAAAGATTGCTGATACCATGCCTTAGCTCGTAAAGCTGTTCAGTTTAATTGATCTCGGTGGTTTTATTGCTACTGTGGTAGCTGTCGTTACTCGACAGAGCATTGACACAAAATGCAGTCTTGGTCAAACAATGGCCAAAACGGCGCTGATGAGACACAACATCAGTGGCATAACAACTATGGGTTCTCAGCACAAAATGGTCAATTTGACCCTCATCAAGCTTGGTCGCAGCCTGTGAATGATCAGGCCGACTTCTCTCAAATTAACCCACAAGATGCTTCTGCCTCAAACTTTTTCGACTCGGACCAAGGTCACTCCTTCCTTCCCGGTACTTTGCATGGCTCCCAACAAGACCAACCGGGCTACCACTCTGGCCATGATTCATTGTCAATGAACCAGCAGTTTACACAACAGACACCAGATGTAATGGATACGGATTTTAGTGCCATGCATCCTGATATCTATGGCCAGCACGGCAAAATGAATCTGGATAATACTATGGCTGGTATTGGGCAACTTTCAAATCACCCTCATTCCTCTAATTTCCCATACTCTATGGCACCACCTAGCGAGTCATCCTTCGAATCTCCCATCCAGCAATTTTCTCAGCCTCATGTGATTCCTCAACCAAGTCGGCAACAGAGCCATACACCTGTACAACAGTTTGATGCTATTCAACCTACATTCGCACAGGGACATAATTTCACCAGACCGCCTCAGCAGTCTCCTGTTCAGAACCAACAACAGTACAACCAGCCTGCTTTTTCGCCCCCAGTTAATGGTCAAACTCCGCAACCTCGGCCAAATGAACAGATGAACTTCCAACAGTCACATCAAGGCCGACAACAGCCTCCTCAACAGCATGCCTCCCAGCAACAGCCGCAGCCCGTCCAGCCCCAATTCGCTCCCAAACAGCCGATTGCCTATCCTCAAACCTCACAACCTTTGGCTGTTCAAAATTTTCAGCAGATGCATCAGCAACAGCCGCACTTCATTGGCAATGCCTCGTCGCCACCCGCCACTAACAACCCATATCTTATGCCTCAGCCCATCAACAGTCAAGACACTGGTATTGCTCAGCAGGTCACCAATGAGCCTCCTGCTAAAAAGAGGAAGCGAGCGGTGAAAACTGCCCCAGATACCCCAACGCCAGAGCCCGTTGCGACATATATCGACTCGCCCGTGGGCTCTCCTGCTGTAAAAAAGGTTGACGATGTTGATGGTCTGTCAGCTCCTACACCTTCACCTGAAGAAGCCCAGTTGATTGCCCAATTCAACAAACGAACTAAGGCTGCCCAAGCTAAACAACCTGCGATCAAGGGCCTTCCTCATCTGATCTACGAGGGCACAGCTAAGCTTCCAGCCCCAAAGAGCTATGATAAGCTCGCCCCTTTAGTAGCCCTGCCAGCTCGTAGTGGAAGACAGATGGTTCCTGAACTTGGTTACAACCTCCCATGCGAGGTCCAGGGTCGATTCACAAGCCAGTACCGCCCTTCCCCCGACAAGGGAGGACTGGACGAGAGACGCATGGAGGCCAAGGGACTATTGGATGACTTTGACCAGGCCATGAAGAGCTTAGGGAAACGTCGCCCAAAGTACACCGAGTACCCACATGCTTTCAAAGAACAGCTTAAATCCGATGAAGCTTCCAAGAACAAGGCAGAGAAAAAGGCAAAAAAAGAGATGGAGGAGGTCGGCAAGCCAGTAAGACATTTACCTTTGCACCAAATAAAGTGTACTTCTAACAATAACCAGATTCGTCCCGCCACTCGCCCAGCAGATCCTGCTGAAGCAGCGGCCTGGGATGCCATCGGGATGGTCCATGTCGAGCATTCCGTTCCGAGAACGAACACTCTGATCGCAACACGTGTTCAACAAGCAGGCGAGTATTTCATTAAACTCCGTAGTGACATGAATCGCGCCAAGCAGGAACTAGATCAGGCTGTAAAGGATAAAGCACCCGAAGCTGCGCTAGCCAATGCGCGACACGATTTTGAGCAAAAGAAGCAGGTGCTTTATCGTGCTTTGGATGCCACTATCGAGCATGCTGATGATGCTGTCCTGGATAACCTTGGAGGTCACCAAAAACTTGTTTTAAGTTTGGTGAACGCATTGATTATGTGTATCAAGGCAGGTGACTTTTCAGGAAAGTTTCCCAAGATTGTCCTCGAGATGTTTACCCATTTTCCTATGACGAAAAAGATTGCCGAGACAACCAACTTTGAGACGGTCCGAAAGAGGTTTGCCGACAAAGGTGACGCCGAAGTCAAGGAGTTTGTATCTGAAATCACTGCCAAGGTCAAAAAACTCGAGTCAACCACTGGATATACTGGTACTTCTGCATCAAGCAGAGCAAAGGTTAAGCCTGGCACGGAAGCTTCAGTCAAGCGTGCTCGCGATGATGAAGCTGACACGCGCACGGTAAAGAAGATTGCTGTTGAATCTGGCGGCGGTTCTCTTATGAGGAAACTCGTTACACCCAAGATCCAACTCCAATCAGCATCTAAAACCAGCGCCGCAAAGGCCGCTGCTGCTTCCATTCTGCCAGGGAAACCTAGACCAGTGGCCAAGTCGGTCGTAAAGCCCGATGTCAAACCCGAGGTCAAGGCTACAAATGACGAGAAGACCAAACCAGAGTCAAAGCCGTCACGAATGGAAGCCAAACCGCCCACATCCCGTAATGGCAGCGCTTCAGCCCCAACCCCGAGCGCAGCCTCGAGCGCTTTATCTGGCATTGCCTCGCTCCTTGACTCTATCAACGCTCCAAAGGCCGAATCTCCCGTTCAAACCAAGGAAACCGATGGTCCTGAAACTCCTGAAACGCCGGAGCAGAAGGCCAAGCGTCTTCGTAAGGAGGCTCGCCGTAAACTTCGAGTCACTTGGAAGCCTGAAAGCGAGCTTGTACAGGTCAAAATTTTCCAGAAGGAGGATGCTGAGGACGAGGGCAGAGAGCAGAACATGATTCGGGACGCTGCTGACGACCGATCTGAAGGAATGGTATTGAAACAGCGTGCGGACGTGGACGACGACGACGAGGATGACGATGTCCCTTACCAACCTTGGATGGGACCAGTTGGGATTGATCTTTCAAGATTACCTACCGACGTCCGGAACAAGAACTACGTTAACAGAGGTGGAAATGTCACCTTTACAACAGATGAACAGAAGCGAATTGCTGATAGGGAGCAACGGGAGCTCGTGGCTATATATACAGACCCGGCCGACATTCCCCCAACGCCCAAATCACCGCTACCTGAGGCCGCAACAGCAACCCAGCAAAAGACACAATACCTACCGAATGATGCCAAGTTTCAGGAGATCCAGGCTCGATGGCGCGATGAGCAGCAGATGGGAGCTGATCAGGCGCTTTACTTGGCGGTCCAGCGCATCGATGCGAAGAACAGCCCGGCATATCAGATTGACTCAATTATGAGTAACCTTCGCGGCACCCCTGCACAATCTTCATCTCACCAGCGCACCTCGCCTTCGCATCGCGACTTGGCCAATGATACTCTGTCCATTATCGCAGGCCCTGCTGTGTTAGAGCAGGTAATCGCTCTTCTCAATTCTGAAAAGGCCAGGAACTGGCGAGATCCCAACCCTAGCACAAGCGATGTTTGGCGGGCGTACAAGTACCCTGACGGCGCAGCTGGTCTTTGTGGAAGTATCATTGAAAGACTTGCCAAGTCTCTGGCTGGCCTGCCGTTTCCCGCCAACTCCCCTCCTGAGTGGATTTTGCACGACCACGAGAAGGTCCGTGAATGGCAAATGGGCTACAACAAAGAATTGGCAGCTCGACAAAAGAGGGAGGAGGAGGAGCGTGTACGAGCTGAAGCCGAAGCAAACGCCTTGCTATCGGCGATGTCTGGTGCTTCATCTGGTCAAGCTCCAGCTAATCCTCAGGACTGGGCTGCTTATTACGCTCAGCAACAGCAATTTGCCCCCTACATGGCTTTGCTGCAGCAGGTGAATGGCGGTCAACAGCCAGCTCAGCCTCCAACAAGCGCTGCCCCTACACAGCAGCAGCCGCAGATCCCGGATAACCAACTTCAATCTATTTTGGCTGCCATTAATCAGCCATCACAGGGCACAGCACAACAGGCAGCAGCCTCAAGTACAGCTCCTTACTTGAACCCCAGTGATCCATCATTCCAGCAGTACATGATGTTAAGCCAGATGGCACAGGGTCAACAGGTCCCGCCTCCGCCTGCCGCCGAGCGCGATTGGGAGCGAGAGAGGGATCATGGCCGAGATCGCGACCAAGACAGAGGATGGGACCGTGATCGTACATACGACCGTGATGACCATCACGGAGGTCGAGGTGACAGCAAGGACGGACGGAAAAAGAGAGGCACCCTCCCGCCGCATAAGCCTGCCAATAAGGCACTTATCGGCACTAAGCCTTGTACCTTCTGGCAGCAGGGCAAGTGTGCCAGAGGTGACAAGTGTACATTTCGACATGATTAGAAACGAGCTTTGGAGAAGACTCGTCAACTATATTGAACCTGATTTGGAGTTCAGGTGGGACGGATCATGGTGTATTTTTACTGTCAAAAAATCAGTATCAACTGGGTTCAATCACAGGGTCAAGCAAGACACCGAACCATTTTGTTAAACTAGAGGTGCCCATAACGGCATGCATGATTAATTAAAACATTATAATCACTTTTTGCGTATCTGTGTGACACGTTGAATCTTGTAGAATTTCGTAATTGTTTTCACGTAGATACCTAAGCTGACTGGCTGTCATCGTTGATTGATATCGACATCCTTTTTTCAGGGCTCTCTCTCTCCCATAGAGTCAAATTTACTCGGCGGCAGCCATCTCTGTATCACCTTCGCCCGGTCGTTTCACCAGTCCACGCAGGCTCAAATCGTAGACAACGTCCTCAACCCTCTTGACGTCATACTTGACGGCATCGGCTCGCTTGCGGAGGATGTCGTTCTTGAGGTTGAGAAGCTGGAACCCAGCGAAAAGATCCTTGATGAACGCGCTGATAACGAGAGGAAGCTCAAAATCCCCGTAGGTAACAGCGTTGGCAGCCAGACGGGCGAGCTCATTGGTCAGGTCCGTCAGAGAGAGGAGATACTCCTCGATGGTGAAGTGGAAGGCGTCACGGTCCTTGAGGTTTGTAGGGACTGTGAAACGTTAATTAAGTGTCAAAATGATCGTGAATGATAGATCGTACCCTGGAAGACATCGCCGACCTGCTCGAGGGTTAGGAGACGGCCGAGAGAAGCAGGCTGCGACTCGGAGCCTAGACCACCGAGCCAAGCAACGTAGACAGCGGTGCCGATGGCATTCTGAATAGATCTCGCCCACTTTTGGTTGTATCTACAGTAGAAAGTCAGATTTTTGATGCATGTCTTGGCTCAGGTGATGATAGCGTACTTGTAGTATGGGTGCTGGCTAGCAACCTCGCTCAGCTCCTTCACGATAGCGACCTCTTCCTTGATGGCATCTTCAACCTGGGAGACCAACGCAGGATCTGCATTTCACAAAAATCAGCCTTGAGCATCACAGTAGGGACAAGGAAAAAACTGACAGCGGGCACGAGGAGTAGAGTGGACACGAGAGAGAAGGCCTTGAGCAGTGGCGACGGCGCGCTCGAGACGCTGGATTATCTGAGTGAGGTTGTCGCGAACGCTGGTCTCTTCATCGAGCTTCTCTTGGAGGTGGGAGAAGAGTGAAGGGTCGAGGAGGGGAGTTTCGGAGGACATGATGGTGGTTGGTGGTGAATGGATGAATGAGGCTCTGGGGATGAGGTTCTCAAGATGGAGGTTTAGTGGTTGGAGACACGCTAGGGTCGTCTTTCCAGTTATGACGAGTGTGATTCTTGCCCAGCGCAAATTTGAGATGTTTACGAAAGATTTACAACAGCTTCGCTTCTACAGTGCCTACATCACTTGGCTACTCAATCATCATGGTCGGCACAAACATTTTAACAGATGGAGGGAATTCTTCTTCGCTACCCAGGCAAGCCTGAGAAAGCAATGAAAAACGAGCTCGAGAGTGCGATTCGCGTCACCTGGAGGCAGTGTGATACCAGGGACACAGTGGGCGGAAGCATGTGCAAGCACAGAGGCGACCACCCTCCGACCAAAAATAGGAATAATCAATGTTGATGTCCTTAGACATCTTTCAGAGATTAAACTGAAAAGAACAGATACTACACTTGATCTAAGCCAAAAGGCAAAGAGAGCTAAGGAGAAAAGAAGAAAGGAAAAGCGTAGCTTGGCTGAGGAAGCTGGGATTTTATAGAGGATTATGAGGGCGGTGTAGAGAGGCTGATTGTGGGAGCGGCAGAATCTGGGCCAATGGGGACCCGTTGAATGGGTCGGCTGAAGGTGCTGCCTGCTGTGGGTCAAAACCTTGTTGTGGGCAAGAGCTTTGGAGCTGTAGAGAAGCTTCGCTTCACCTGAAGGCCTGAGGTTATGACTGTCATTGTAGGCAGCCAAGGCTTGGAGCTCAGCCAGCTCATTTGTGCAAGCATGTACGACGTATGCACGATGTATGCAAATGGTCAGCGATAGCCAAGCAGCTAGTAGGATTGACTGACCTAGCAGCCTCATTAGACGCCTGAAAATGATGAGCATGGATTCTGTTCCATCTTGTATACGAGATACAGCTACGCAAGGCAGCTCCTAATAAACAAGTCGAAACTCCAACCAAGGATACGGCCTTTTTTTCAAAGAGCTTCCCCCTCGATTGTGACTACTCGAATTCCGTGAAATCCAGGCTTGCTCTTCCGAAGCTGCACTGCATCTTGATGCAGCTTGCTTGCCCCAAGCTTGGAGCTACATATGCTTCCATTCGACATTTCCAAGACACAACTCGACCACTAGGAGCAGATTCGTCCTTGCAGATCTCTAGCCAACTTGCAATCTGCCGAGGCCTGGACGTGCTGGTGCCTGCGCCTGACCACATAGCGCTAGGAGGAGGCATGGTGCCTTAAGCGTTGGCGGATCGAGGATCATAGTAGAGGAGGTGTTGGTCTTGGCGATGGCCGCAGAAGAGGCAGACGAAAGGTGTAACCTTCTCTCAAACAGCTCGATTGTGACTCAAAGAACCCAATCTCATACGGCGTAATGTTACTTACTGGTTTTTCCTCTTGTGCTCTTAGCAGCCAAGTCTCTCTCTCACCAAGGGAGGTATAATAATCATGTCCATACCTTGGAATGCGCAGCTGTTGATCATGCTCAGAGCCAACAGTATTTCAGTGCAGATGTCCTTACGGGCCGCATCGGGAATCTTCAGCTTTCACCGCCAAGAAGCCTGTCACGATTGTGACTTTGGCTTTGGCTGAGATTGAGTCGCATATTTGGACTGGTCTTATTTGTGACACCTTCTCAGAACGCTTAATGCATCCTGGCTTGCCAGTTATCGGACCACATTCCGTTAGAACAACCAACAGCTTCCGATCAAGTTCAGTGCCTGAGAACTCGGAGCACATCTAGACCTCTGCAGGATGCAAGTTGACTAGAGATCTGCAAGGATGAATGTTCCTAGAGAATATGATCTTTGGCGAGATACATGTTGGACTCGAAAAGACCAGCTGGCATCGCTTCCTCCGTGGAGGGTTTCTCCCAGGAAGCACTTCTCAAGGGTGTCAGATGGAAGCATATCTCCAAGCTTCAAGATGCAGTGCAGCTCAGGAAGAGCAAGCTTGAGTTTCATAGAATTTGAGGGCTGCTTATTTTTCGCGCCCTGAAGCCCATAGATCAACCTTTCTATCACCCGCTACGTTGTCTACCAGCCAGTGCTTCGGCTTTGGCGCAACTGCATTCAAACCCCAAAACATGCAGGCAAGCGACGTACTCAGCCTACCGCCAAGGAGCTATCGAAGATCTAGGAACCAACAGCAGAAACATTGATCAGCTGGTGATCCTCTGCAGCTCGAAAGTAGCCAGTTGAGGTGAGGTAGCAAGTCTTGTCAGCAATCGACATGCAGACCAACCGAGCAAATGCAAGGGGAGACGCAGCCATCTCTGCCTCTTGCTTCTTCGGGTGCCTCATGTAAGGAATGAAAGACATATCCAAGCTTTGAGGTTTTTATCACATCTGTAAAATGACGGACACAATACGACAGTATTCCGAAACTCAACTTGCTAATTTCGCAACTGAATGTGTTACTTCGGTCTTTGTTCGATTTACATGCTTATTCCTTGTCGTGCCTCATGAATGCCGTGCATGTGTTTGACCAATCTAACAACTTCTCCCGCCCTTCTAGAAAGACTGACTCACCAGAGCTATGGCAGGGGAATTTTCTGGTCGGCGCCACAGATTCGCTATTTCTTCATCTGGTAGATGATATGACATGAAGAAAACTTTAGGCAAGACCTGGAAAGCCTTCCCGCTCGGTAGGGTAGGAGTGATGCTCAGGACCCGCACTATCTGGACTGTTGGGGCGAAAGTGTTGGTTGATGGAAGGAACGTGCCATGAACAATATGAAGTGGCTTAGTATTGTTCTTCAACGCCCACCTACCAAAATGGGAAGACGGATAGCAGCCACAACACCAACCCGACTGTAGTTGGGACAGGGATGTAGAAGTGATAGCTTCGTCGACATCAGACGCAATATTGTCTCTGGAACCTAATACAAAGAGAGTTACTCCCCGACGATATTTCAGAATACCAGTAAGCTCTCAAGCCCATCTTGACGAGCAAACCTGCAAGCTACCTACTACTGTCTCTTTTGAACCCCAATTTCTGAGCCATGCTGGCGATCAATCTCCTCAAGACCGGGGGGTTTCTCCTCAGCGCGGTATCTGTTCTAGCAGTCCCAGTTGTGGTTGAGTCATTGAACGAGACCCCCGCTGGATGGGAGGAATCAGACTCTCCCTCCCCTCATCAATTCATCAATCTCTCTATTGGACTTGAGCCCGAAGACCACAAGTTGCTTGAGCGTACAATCTACGAAGTCTCCGACCCTGACCATCATAAGTATGGCAAACACCTCTCTCGTGAATCTGCCAAAGATCTACTCAAGCCTTCTCATGCGGCTACCAAGTCTGTCAAGCGCTGGCTCTCTGAGGTTGGAGTTCCCAGCCATCACATCCGTGACGAGGGCGAATGGCTTCACATTCGAATTACTGTCAAGAACGCTGAAGAAATGCTCAACACTCGCTTCTCCATGTTCGCCCGCGATGACAGAAGCATCGTGAGAACAAGAGAGTACTCTGTCCCTCACAACATCCGCCGCCACATTACATCAATCCAGCCCACAACACTCTTTTCAAGCTTCCAGCATACTCGAAACCTTGAAGAAACTGCAACTACCATGATGAAGCGGGATACCCTGATTGAAATGGAGCATCGATCTACCAAGAATGGCAACTATGGTGGACCAGGACCGATAGACCTCAAGAAGTGCAAAACAGAGGCAACCCCTGCGTGCATCCGTAAGCTGTACAATATGCCAAAGAAGTACCCAACTGCTGCGAAGGGCTCTATGTTCACAACTGTCAGCTTCCAAAACGTACGAATACCCCATTTGTCAAGTAAAAATCCCCTGCTAACAGGTATTAGATGACCTCCCAGCGTGATGAGCTCCAAGAGTTCCTCCGACGTTACGCTCCTGATCTCAAAGGTGTCGCATTCTCCGATGACTCCGCCAATGGCGGTAAAAACACGCAAGGCGACAATGTTCCTGAGAATGAAGGAAATTTGAACATTCAGTATGCTGTCTCGTTAGCTTCTCGAATCCCGGTACAACATCTGGCTGTTGGAGGTATCAACACTGACTATATCCCCGATCTGGAGTAAGTGAATTGCACCATGCAGGAGAATCTGTGTTGCTGATCGCGCGTTACAGTTTGCCACCAGGAGCGTACATTGAGACCTGGCTCGAGTTTGCTGAACACATCTTGAACCTGCCTACCAAAAAACTCCCTTCAGTCATCTCTATATCTTGGGGCGAATACGAACAGCACCTTCCCAAACAGTATGCCCGCCAGGTCTGCAACAAATTTGGACAGATTGGCACACGGGGTGTTTCAATCATAGTCCCAGCTGGTAATCAGGGCTTGGGTGTCGCATGTCAATCAAATGATGGAAAGAACACCACCAAATTTCTCCCTACATGGCCCAGTGCTTGTCCATACGTAACCACTGTCGGTGGTACGGGAGGCAATAACCCTGAAGTTGCACTGAGTGATGGAGAAGGAGAGGAGTTCTCGACTGGCGGCGGGTTTTCTGATCTTTTCTCGCGTCCTGAGTACCAGGACAAGGTCGTGAAGGAGTACCTGAAGAATCATGGCAAAAAGTGGCAGGCTTATTACAACCAAAAGGGACGGGCCTACCCCGATGTAGCAGCTATTGCGGCTGAGTTGCCGGTCATGGTCCGCGGTGAAATGCGTCTTGCAACAGGAACAAGGTAAGCGAAACAAACTCGTTGCCATGGTCGAGAAGCTGACACAGTGACAGTGCAGCAGCGCCAACATTTGGAGCCATTGTTGCTCTTCTTTCAAATGAGAGGTTGAGGAAGGGCAAACCTGTGATGGGATTCCTTAACCCTTGGATCTACAAGAAGGGGCACAAAGGATTTACTGAGTAAGTTCATGCGGATTCATTCAAACATTCAATATTTTAACCGTTGGTCTAGCATTGTGAATGGAAGAAACTATGGCTGCCAAGGTACTAGTATGTTAGGCCTTCCGGCGCCCAAGATACCTGATGCCGGTTGGGAGGCGGTCGAAGGATGGGATCCTATCAGTGGTTTCGGAACGCCGCTGTACGGCAAGTTGGAAAAGCTAGCCCTTTAGGAGAGGCTAGTTTCGAACGAAGACGGTAGCTGGTTTAAGAAGACCTATAAGATGGTGAGCGATTGCTACAATGGCATGCTCTGATGAATTGACTAAGCGCGTTGAGGTGATGGCCTTCTTTCTGGTTGTGTAAATCCTTATATTAGAAACCAGTGTTTTGGTAGGATGAAGTTTCATTTCGTGGCGTGGTGAGATTATCGCCTTGTTATTTGGAAGAATTGTTACGAGGAGGAAAGGGCAGCTGTGTCCATAGGTATACGATATAGGACCAATATCAGATCCAACTTCTTGAAAATTGAATTGATTGGTGACAGTAGTGACAGAATTTTTCCGGAACCAACCCTATCGTTGTGACCAAGGGAACAAACAGACAGTGATCATTGATGGACTCGCGATGTGGTTTTGCGAATGAGACCAGTCGACTACGGCACGATGGCGTAGATCAACGTCTATCTTTATCCCAAGGCCACCAATACCTAATATGTTGTCTCATGAATTAAAAACCTTAGACCAGTCCTGCTTCATAAAGTAATCCTCCGCCGTACCCAGTTTGGGCGCTGACTTCAACTGTGCATATGTCAGTAGACAATTCCAAAAGCATCGACAAAAACTTACATCTCGAGGATGTACTATGGTCGGATCATCTCGGCCCTCGTATCCGAACTCATTAAAGTAACCAAAGCAATCTTTCATCTCGCCAACAAACTCTTCCGAAAAGCCAGGCGGGAATGTTCCATCTGATTTGACAGCAGCTGATTCAATGCCAGTAGCCTTGGTGAACGACTCTGCGATCTCTTTAGATGTGAGCCATTCTCTGTAGCCGATGAGGTTGTGTCCTGCAGGTTCTTGGATGATGAGAGCCTTGACAATGGGGCCCGAGTCTTCTTCAGCGGCGATGAAGGGGAACTTTGTATCGGGGTCTAGGGGTGAGATGAACTGCGCGACTCCTTCGGTATTCTGAGTGTTTATGTTATTTTGGCGTATCTCTTGAAGAAGGAAATGACGGCTCACTTTGATGGGCTGGTTCAAAGGTAGTTGGACAAAGTTACTCAGAAATAGTCCAGCCTGGAAGACACTCGTCTTTGCCCAAAGATCCGGCTGTGCCTTTGGGATATACTCTGCTGCACGAGCCTTGCCATCAAAGTGATACACCCGAGTGTATTTACCTTTGGACCACTTCTAAGCATTGGATAAAGAAGAAAGAATAAAACGCTCCAGCGTGGGAACCTTGGAAGCAGCATCAATTACATTCTTGAGCTGCTGTTCCTCATGCTCCGCAGCCCACTGGTTAAGAGGCTGTCCAGGCTTCGCTCTAGACTTATTCGCTAGGTCGCTATATAAACCCCAGAAGTCACTGACCGCAAAGATAGCGTTGGCTCCTTCAAAGGCAGCGACAAGAGTTGAGGGCTCGTCGAGATCGGCTTGGACTACTTGGGTGCCTTTGGAAGAAAGGGCCTGGGCTTTGGAGCTTTTGGCGTTGCGAGTTATGGCGCGGACTCTCCAATCTGGTTCTGAGAGGAATGCTTCTGCGACGGAGCCGCCTTGGTTACCGGTTGCGCCTAGAATGACGATGACTTTAGACGTGGACATTTTGATGGTGTAAGTCGAGAGGAGAAGAGATAAGTAGTCAATTGGTTGAGTAGCAGATGTACTAGATAAAGATGTACAAAGTAGTAGATACTAGTAACATTATATAGAAAAGCCCAAATATAACAACATGTCGTTGTCGTCCACGCCTTTGCGATATCCTCATTTGTAAATCGTCGCTTTATCAGCACTGATTGGACATGCCGTTATTCTGTTCGAGGCCGGAAGGGAGATGCCGGGCTAGTCGGGGGTAGTAAGCCCGATTGCATTATCGTGTTTAATTGTGAAATATCGTTTACGGAGGAACGATGCCCCGACGTCCCAATTCTTTTTCGTAGGATTTAAATGTCGTTATTCAGTAATGAGATTGTGCTGATTAACCGGCTTAATTGATGCTGGAGATGGGCTGGTGAATCGTGACTAGTTAGATGTAGTACTGATAGACTGCCGACAGTTTAGCAATGAATGGAGGATACTTTTAGAGTAGTGATAGAGTAGTTTTTGAGCAATCAACGACGAAGGAAGATAGATATAAATAAGTAAGTGTAGGCACATGAGTTCTATGGTTCATTAGACAACACAACCACAGACAGACAACACTTACTCATCCACATCCAACAATCGAACCAAAACCAGCGAACATCATGCCTGCTGAGCATATATTCAAGGGCGCGGAAATGTCTGAGCATCGCATCCATAAAAGTCATAGAAAAACGATACTTTATTCGACGATACCCTAATCTCCCTCTTCGGACCAGGGTGGGCACAATACGCTCGCCACGGGGACAATATCTCCATCACTGAGACGAGCAATCCAGAAATAAATGTGTGGCAGGAGCTAATCTTGAGAGGAGCGATGAAGTACCATTGACGACCGTTTATTAATGGATTACCCTTGAACGCTTGCATTGATTTGTTTGACGAGGGTGGTAGATCGTGTTCTGCTTGTATTCGCGGCCCTACAGAAATGGAAGATAATAGTAACTGGTTAAGGATGAACGAGCGGGAACGACGATTGAACTCAAGACATCAAGCTTATAGAAGCCTCATAGTGAGCATGGTAAAATATACTTCATCTCCAATGACCAAGCAGCTATCAATGTTTTTCCCGACAAAGTAAAGACAAGTCAACGCAAATCATCCCCATTACAACCTCGATACTTATCAATCTCAGCACATCTATCAACTAAAGAATACAAGTCAGTATACACCAAAAGTTTGCCTCAATCTTGAGTGAAGAATAGGACATACCACAATTTGACGGACAGCCGCTGCAGTCGCAGATCATATCACATAGCTCAAGACAGCTACTCACGCACCGTTTCCAACCCTCGAGATCTTCACACTTTCGACCCTTATCCTGTCTCGGCAAGATAACTGAGGACTCAGGATCAAAGATGGAGCGGAATTCGGCGATGGATGCGATCAAGTCGGGGGATGACGCTTTGGCTTTGTTGATTGTGCCGGCTAGGGTGAAGGGGAGGGTTATGAGCGAGAGGAAGATGGTTGGCTTCATTCTTGATGATAAGAATTGGTAGTCAGCTGTATATGTTTGAGCCTGTGATGATATCAGCAGGGATTGATCTGATCTTTTTATACCTTTCTCCCCCCCGCGTTTAATTTATGAGGCTCAAGCAGCATGTAACTGTCCAACATGCTCACCAACGTAATATCGTTCGACAAGTCATGCCAGCTTCCACATTGCTCAATTTTCCGCCCTGTTACTATGCAAGAGCCGCATGTACTTAGCAATCACCAACCCAATTATGCACTGGCAAGCATCCGACGTTGTACAACATCGGCCATACTACCAACGATCAACAGGAACGCCCTGTGTAGACCGGGATCATACCGAGTTCCGCCGAGAGGCAGCCTCCCGTCAAAGATCCTTTAGCCTCAAATACAGTCACAATTATGTCGGTTGTATAAGGTGGTGCGGTTCAAAGATGGAAAGCACACTCGATGAGACTGGGGAACCAGTTGTGAACAAATAAAAGCCTTACAGTAGTGGCTATAATAAATTGAATATACTCTTAAAAAGAGTTTTCCAGAAAAGTCATGCTATAAAACATCAAAGCCGTATAAAAGCTTATAAAAACCCCTACCCAAACCCAGTACCTTTACTCCATTACCCAACCTCATTAACAAATATATTATATCCTAACCTTTCATTATTTATCGAGAATATGCGATGAGGCATGACATAACGTCGAGAAGGGAATATAAGCCTCGTCCTTGTAATCCGTCAAGACACCGCCAAGCTCATCTTCAGGGGCTCCCTCCGAGGGAAACACCGTCTTGTACACCCACTTGCGCCCGTCGATGAGCTTGTCGGTGATGAGCTCGTCCTTCTTGGTGGCCTGGAAGCCTGCTTGTAGTAGGGGCACGATGTACGGGTGAAACCAGTACTTTTTAAAGTCGTTGATGAGCTGGCGCTTGCTGCACGTGGCGTGGTAGAAACCAAAGATTTTGCGTGTCGCGACGTTTGTGTCGAGTGGAAGGCTGGCGATCCAGTCGCGTGCGGACTTGGTGGTGGTATCGTCGGGTAATGACTTGAAGACGCGAATGAAAGAGCGGTACACGTTGGCGGGCAGCTGGATCTTGTAAGGCTTGAAGACTTTGCCCTGTTCGAAAAGATCCTTGGCCATGGTTGCCGTGTTATCAGTGTTGTTGTAGTTTAGCTTCTGCATCCACTTGTGGGCGAAGCATCCGGTTTGCACAAAGTCCGACTCGTAATCGATGGCAGCGTGATATTCGGCCACATCCGCTGTCGCAAAAGGGTTGGTGATGTTGCTTTCGCCAAAGGTCTTGTCAATGTTGCGGAGCTCGTACTCAATCTGCTTGGCGCGGGACATTTCCTGGCGTGCGTACAGACGGGCGAGGTAGATCTGGTCTGAAGTCTTGTACTTGAAGTTGGGATCGAAAGTATCCTCCAAGCTGTTGATACCGGCATCGATGAACTTGCGCAGGTCGCCGACTGGACCAATGACGCTTCCCGAGTTGAAAAACTTGGCATCGCGATATGTTGCATCACCGTTGCCGGTCTTGGGTCCGTAGACGGTGTTGGGGAGATGAGAACCGGGGAGCTTGGTGCACTGATCTTCGCTGAGGGCTGGCCAGCACATCTTGTCTGCGCCCCAGAACAGCGTCTGCTTGAGACCACGCTTGTGGGCTTCCTCGACGGTGATACCGAAACGGTCTGCCAAGCGTTGGTCTGCGTCAGCAGTAACCTTGAAGTAGCGCTCGATGACGACCTCTACGGGGAGTTGAGCCATGACATCGTAGCCGTCGCCAAAGAAGACCAGGTCGTCATCATCACCGCCGTTGGGGAGCTCGTCGAGGTATTTCTTGATGGAGTATAGTTTGGCAGTGTGAGCAGCGGAAGCGTTGTATTTGCCCTCTCCCTTCCAACCGATCATGTAGGGAGCGGGATATCGGTTCACGAGGGCCGAGGCGATGATGGCGCAGACCATGTCATTTGGGTCGGAGGCCGGTAGGAGGAAGTGAAGCTGTGACGTCTTGATGGGTGCGGGTTTCGGTTTCTGCTGCTTGTGCTTCTGCTTTTTTGGTGCATGGTCCGACGTTTCTGGTGATGCCCCGGTCGATGTCGTTTCGGAGGGTAACAACCCGTGTGCAGGTGTCCACTTTGTATGGTCAGTACATTATAACAAGAAGTGATGAGGAATACTTACAGCGCTGGAATATAAATAAAAAGTCTCCAAGATGATAAAAAAGACAAGGACGAAGGCGGCAAAGACTGCCGGTCGGCGATATGACGACATCTTTTGCGACAAGAGAGCGACAGCCATTTTGACGGATATCCAAAAACAGAGACTGAACAAGTGTACAGATCAAGAAAATGTCTTGATCATGCCCTCAAGGGTCATGAATATATATACTGAAAGGAAAGGGGTCGTATTTATTCTTTCCAAGGGATAGGAAATCGATAGTGCTACGTAGTAAGGGGGACATGGCGTACAGAACCCCACCTCCAAGTACGCCATGCAATTTCGACATCTTAGTAAGAGCTAAGATTGGCGGTTTTCTTTTTTTCTTCTTGTTTTTTGCAACGTTTTTTTGGACCCCAAAAAAGACTAACAACGGTCTTTTTCAGGGGTCCTGATGGTGGGCCAATTACTAGTCAGTCTGTTCCTGGCGTCAAAGTCTATTGAATACTAACTTTAATAGTGTATTTACTGTAGATATTAAAGATAGGTGTCTAAGTAGTAATCAGAAACTGACAAAGTCATGAAGATAAATAACATGAAACTTTCAGCCCTGTTTTGCTGACGTACGTATAGTACCATGTAACTAATCTATTCCCTTGTCTAGTCAGGTTGCACGACGATCACTCTAATCCTCAAACGAGATTGACTGTTCCTCCGAGTTTCAGCATTTCCCCTCGTCTCTCCACCTGTCAGTTACTGTTGGTCTCTATCATCCCATGTCCTTGTCTAATGCTTGTCCAGTAGAGTATCCACAGGCATAACTCGGGGCGTTTTCGGTATAAGACAAAGTTACGGCAGCAGCACAGAGTTTAAAATAGAGTTATCCTCTCAGGTACTGTGACGGTAGATGAATCGTTGGCCGTTACTGTCTGGTCGGGAGACTCGGTAACTCTGTTGTGAAGGTGGTTGAAACTCTAGAATGAATAGATTGGGTGGTGATTGATCACAGGTTGGGTTTGAAGAGTATGGTGGAGGTGGAGGGGTAGCATCTTTAGTCTGTAGGTGATAAGATTGTGTATTCTTTTCAGATGGATAGTTGTATTGACTGGGTGAGTTTGGCAGGGGAGATCCCAATAGGAAGGTTTTGATGCGGCTTGTGATACACGACATGATGCAGTATATAGTAGGGTTGAGATTGTAGCTGAACTGATTAAAACAGACATAATCCATTGTCATCACCTACTTATATATAAAATATCTGTATAAATTGTCGTCGCAATCAATTGATCGTCATGATCATCAGTCCGCGCAGTCCGATGTTAGTGGTGGCTTAGCTCGCCCAATGCACCAATTCAAGCTGATTAGCGGGCTATTACTCCTCTTTTACCGGCCGCAGACCCCGAGCCAAGGCTTATACTCGATCCGCGAATGCGATCCAGGCTGTGCTTGTGCTTATAAGGTGAGATTCGCGAATAGTAATATTTAGAATGCGAACCCTCAGGTCAGCTGTTCATTTACATGTAGTAGAGTTTGACTAGATAGGAGACGAAATAATTACCCCCTACTCTCTCTAGTCTGGTCTAGCCACTCTTGAGCCCTGACGCAAGCCTCTTTGACCAAAAGCGTTCTAGAATTGAATCTATTGATGGTAGTGCGACATGACGACCAACATAATCTGCCTGGAATGCAACGCTCCGGGGTGCTTTTTATCAGCCGGTCCGTATCTAATACCAATATTTCAATATCATTTACGCCACAACCCACTATCTTGAAGCGTAATACAACATCTCTTTAGCTTCAGTGATAATGGTCTCGTTCAAAGATATCCAAACCTCCAACGCCCTCATCAACGATGCTACAGCCCCGCGCACCGCCGTCTTTGCCGGCGGTACATCCGGCATTGGCAAATTCACCCTCCAAGCCTTGATCGCAAAAGGAACTAGTATCAGAGTCTATCTCGTCGGCAGAGAGAGCGCTCAACAGCGTACAGAGACTTTTATACAGGAGATGCATGCTGTAAATCCCAAAGCTGAAATCATCTGGGTCCAAGGCGAAGTATCGCTTCTCTCCGACACAAAGAAAGTGTGCGAGGTCATCAAAAGCAAAGAGAAGAGCGTTGATCTGCTCTTTCTCTCAACGGGCTACGCACCTTTTACAGACCGGAAAGATACATCTGAGGGCTTTGACATCTCTCAAACTCTGAGATATTACTCGCGCATGTTGTTTGTTCTACATTTGCTTCCTCTTTTAAATGCAGCTGAAAATCCTAGAGTCATCAGCGTTTTGGCTGGTGGTATGGAACGCTCACCTGTACGACTCGACGACATCGACCTCAAGAGGCCAGGGAATTTCAATTTTGTTGCAGCTCATACACAGGCCGCAGCCATGAGCACTCTATTTCTAGAACAGCTAGCCAACGAAAACTCGAATGTCACCTTTCTTCATTCTTATCCTGGCTGGGTCAACACCGGCAACGTCAGAAGGGGTTTAGATCCTGACACGATTCTTGCTTGGATCATCTGGCTTCTTCTTGAACCACTGATTGCGATTCTTTCATTTAGTGATGAAGAATCTGGACAGAGACATTTGTTCCAAAGCACGAGTGCTGCGTTTGGAGGGAGAGGCACGACATGGAGGGGACAAACCGGAGTTAATTCTCATGGAGAAAAGGAGACCGGACTGTTTCTTGTCACCAGTAAATGTGATTGCACCCTGAATTCAAAGACGGTTGGCATCTTACGAGAGACGGCACAGAAGAGAGTCGTTGATCACACCAAGGAAGTTTTGACACCTTTTCTTCGAGGGCGATGAATATTTGTTTATTCATTTTAACGAAATCACTTGAAATCTGGTAATCATATCTAGTTATATAATCAGTAGTCTTTATCCTGTTTTGAGAGATGCTGACATGAAAGTCTTGATATTCCCATGTTACATACCAACTGCTCACAGCCAATAACAAGCTCTTCTACCAACTGTCGTCTTACCCGAATTAAATCACCTCCACTACAACTCCCCACTCACAAATATCATCCACCTTCCTTCTTTATCAAACTACAGTATGTATCTCATCAACGTCTCAACATACGAACTCGAAGAATTCCACGGCAATATCCCCCAATATGCAATTCTATCACACACATGGGGTCCTCAAAGCGACGAAGTCCTCTTTCACGAGATGCAAAGCTGTTTATCAGACATCAAACTCAAGAAAGGCTTCAAGAAAATCGAACTATGCGCCGAACAAGCCAAAAGAGATAAACTACAATATTGTTGGGTAGATACCTGCTGTATCGACAAGTCTAGCAGCGCAGAGCTTTCAGAAGCTATCAACTCCATGTTTGCTTGGTATAGAAACTCGGCGGTTTGTTACATTTACCTCGATGATGTCGTTCATCTTGAAGGCTCGAATGGAAGAGATGATTCTTTCAAGAATGCAAGATGGTTCACCCGGGGATGGACACTACAAGAGCTTGTGGCCCCGCGAGTCCGGCAATTCTACGATGTGAACTGGACGAGAATCGGGTCCATCTCGGAGAGTCACTACAGTCAGCATTTCGTCAACGGTTTTCTTCGCAAGTCTTCGGCTGTGGAACTTCAGCTGAATCCTTTCCTACCTGAGCGGAGCAATATTCCAGGTCAAGTCTCTCAGATTACCGGAATTCCAGACCAGGTTTTCTTCACTGGAGATTTGGCTTCTTTTTCAGTTGCTACAAGGATGTCGTGGGCGTCAAGACGCGAGACAACACGTACTGAGGATCAAGCATACTGTCTACTGGGACTCTTTGATGTTCAGATGCCGCTTTTGTACGGAGAAGGAAATAAAGCTTTTATACGTCTTCAAGAGGAGATTATCAAGCGACAACCAGATCATACGCTCTTTGCATGGCGTTCGGAGCCAAATTCACCAACCCCTACCTTCAGCGGCCTCCTCGCACCATCGCCCAGAAATTTCTCCAGTCATTATTGCCAAGGCCTATCATCTAAACACGTCGATATGCCCTATGAGATGACGAACAAGGGTCTGCACTTACAAGTACGACTTATCAAGAGCCGAAAGGCCCCTGATGAAGTTTACGCCATCTTGGACGTGAGCCATAGATCAAATCCGAGAAAGGATGTTTGGTATGGTATCAGACTTGGAAGACTGAACCAGGAAGGTCAGTTTGCTCGCATTAATTCGGATGAGCAGATGATCACCGAGGCTGAATCGGTGGATACACTCTACATCAAGCCGAGCCATATCTACGTGCAAAACTTTATAAACCATGAATCGCCTCTACACGACCGGCAGAAACCGAGTAGAGTGATTCTTGGTTGTGCTCTGGGAACTATGCTCCTCACCATTCTTGAAGCATCAGGCTCAAAGAGCTGGGATGATAAATCCTTCAGTTTCTACCCTTCCCAGGACGAGCTCTTTTATGCGAAGCTAGCATTTGAAAACACACCCAAGTTGCGAAACATGTCCTTCTTAACGATAGGATGGATCGTAAGCAAAGATGACATCGAGGGTTTAACCTCACGTTTGGCCATCCTTTCTGAACCTGAAGACTTGCACAGACCAGAAACTGTGTGGGAGAGTGGTATTCGGTCTGGAATCGCAAAGATCTATTGTGAAAAGACTTTGAGTATTATCAATGGAGAGGCGGTGGTCAAAATAGTACTTCGAGATCAAATAATTCAACAGGAATGAGAATCGATATTACATTGAATGGCAACTTTAAATAATAAGTATATATAGAGACCAAAAGAAACCTGTTGATAGTTATGCGCTTTCGAGTTGCCAAACCCGAGTGAACCCGGTTGCTTACTTCTGAGCCAGAAGAACCCATCCATCAAACTTGACTCCTCCATAAGTCTCAACCTCCTTCTTGATAACCTCATCAACAGCTTCAGGCCACTTCTTCTCGTCATCTTCCGTGAACCCAGCCCGAGCAGGTGCCATCAAAGGTCCAAGAATAAACTTCTTCAACCCGTCGTCAAGTTCAGGTCCACTGACGACAATACTCTTCTCTAAGAGCTTAAACTTGGCAGAATCAAAACCAGCTTCGGCTGTTGTTTTTTCCAGCACGCCTGGTTCCAAGAACTCAGGGTGAGGCATCTTTAGAGGAGGCAGGTCAGGTCTCACAATGGCTTGGGCGGCGTGAATAAGTTGGCCAGCGGCAAAGCGCCTCCAGCATGATATGACAGCTAGACCATCTAGCTTGAGCGTGCGGTGCATTTCCTTCAGACCCTTTAAGGGCTCAGCGAGAGTGAAGACGCTAAAGTTGAGGATATTGTGTGTGAAATAATCGTCTAAAATACCCTCTAGGTTGAGTGAATCAAGGATCTTTGATTCTACCTGGGGCCAAGACGTGAAAGAATCTTGAGCCCCCTGGACCATAGGCGGCACATTGTCCGTCACTAGCATCTTAGGAACATCCTTAGTAGACAGCTTTTCAAGAATAACTGAAGCAGCTATTCCAGGCCCAGCAGCATTGTCATGCACCACAGAGTCTTTGTTGATGGGCTTGGAAGCCTGGATCTCTTCGAATGATTCCTCAAAGACACGGCGTGTGCTTCTTCCAGTTTGCTGAACATAATTTGCTGCAAACGCAGAGAAGTACGAGGAAGAGGGAAGATCCTTACTCTGAGAAGAAGCCATTTGAATCGTAGTTTGTCAAATTGTTGGTAAATCGTTGTATTATTGTGGTTCGCCGTGTGGCCAGATTGCACCCACTTAATATAGCCAATTTTTTTTTACGGCTTATTGACAACTCTGTCATCAACCCGTCGGTCTTTTTGGAAATCTGATATAAGCACTAGACTTCTTTGACCAGCGAGAGGGTATAATCGTCAAAGGTCCTGCCTGACTGGTCGGAGCGTCACTTGTCACTCCGTTTGACCCGGTGGCTAGTCAAATGTCCCCAGAGGCCGAAGTCGAAGCAAACGAATCAAAGTCTTTGTTATAATTTGGCCAAGTCAAATATTAGAATATGATATCGTTCTCACCCAGTGATCCAGAATAAAAGAAATTGCCACCCATATGATCAAGTCCCTCGATCCCTTGTATCGAATCTTGCTCCGGGCTGATGATGAAATTATCATTGAAAAGTGATGTCCCGTCATTGGATATGAACTCCCCTAGAGAGTGGAGGTCCTTCCATGAGAAGCTGTTGAAAGGATCAGAGCTTGGTGTTGGTTCACTTTGATCCATTTGAACTTGGTGGGCTCCTCGGTTGATCGAGACAATAGAGTCAGAGGGTTCCTCGGCCCTTGCAGCTTGCGATCTAGATCTTCCCAACATTTTCAACCAAAGAAGCTTAAGTGACCGCGCGTAACGTTGACCAAGACCCTGTTGATTATCCGAGGTTTTCTGTAGACGGGATATGGTTTCATATATAGCTCGGCGAACGCCGCGTGCTTCCGATGGTTTGATAGCTCCAGCGAAGATGGCCTATGGGCAAGGGATTGTTAGTATGCCATGGAGGCAGGGAAGAACTCTCTTTCTCGTACCTTGAATAGAAATACGGCGGCATAAATGACATAGAGATAAAACTTTAGAGGCATGTATTTGAAAACTTTGACCGGATCAATGAAGCTGTTGATGGTGCAAAGTATTGAATTCGCAGCGTCGATCGACTCATAGATAAATCTTGCATCCGGTGCAGCAGCAAGTTCTGAAAACAGAGGCCCGGCTGGTCTCTTCCTTTGACGACGGACGATGCGGTTCAGATTGGCTTGGAATGCAAAAGCATTGATATAAAGGCGAAGAAAATCATAAGACAACATCAGAGACGCTTTGACACGAGGTACGAAGCTGAGTCCGCCCCATGATAGCTTCCACCTACGAAGAACAGCCGAGAAGTCATCCTGGATAGTCAGTATTGAAGTCAGGTCGTATGGCGGGAGATCTCACTATGTATCGCACGTACTCCCCTCCTGTATATAGTTGCTCCCTGTGGCTGGTTGAGGAGTAGAGAATATCATGCGCATTGCTAAAAAGTTGGGTTATTTCAAGGTGTGCTTGGAAAAGCAGAGCTAGGTTATCATTGCCCAATGTTTGTGTCTGAAGATACGGGAAGTCGGCAGCCCGCAGATTGACGGATGGGCCTGGACCACGAGACCAGAACCCTTTGCCGAGCCGGATCGACACTTGACGATCACTCATGTAGCAAGCTAGTACGATGTTAGATCTTTAATTGTATAGGCCTTGACCCGTATCTTACCTGCCCAAGCTATCCTTTTCCTACTCAAATCCTGAGTCACATCTTCACCTCGCTGCGTCAGTCCAGTTTGCTCCAAGTTTTGGAGATATGCGAGACGGATAGCAACGCCCACAAGCATCCATGATCCTTGATCTTCTTTTCCGCATCCAATCATGAGATTTTCCTCCAGTGGCTGAGGAGCCCATTCGGCAAGTATCAACAGTGCTTCCACTGCACCGACGGTTGTTGAGCCAGTATATATCAACTTTGAGATTTGACTCTCCATATATCGGGCGCATGCAGTGTGCGCTTTGGACCAAGAGGGGTCATCCTTCGTAGCGACGGTTAAGATAGCTGTGATAAGGTATTGCTCTTCCTCTAGTGATTCGAGGAGGCGGGTGTAGTCGAAAATGACGCTGTAGGCAATGGGGAAGAAGATGTGAAAATTGTCATGATATCTAGAATCACATTTGTTAGCCCTGTACATGCCCAACATTGTCATGGTTGTGTCGACTCACTGCTCAATCAGAAACGATACCTCTGAGAGTGTCAGTGCCCCAGATTCTATAGGTGGGTAGTTGCAAACGCCTTGAGGTGCACCTGTGACGTTTCCCGAACCTTCGGCCTGTCCATCTGCCTCTCGTGCTTGGTCGTTACTATGTCTCTCGGGTTCCATATCGGCGACATGGGCCAACAGATCAAGTGCGTCCGAGGGGTTGAGAAGATCTGAAGATGTGAAATGACCCTGGAGTTGCACAGCGTCACGTCCTTCCTCTTCTTCGTCATCTGAGTTTGATCCAAGGTGCGAAGACAGCCATTCAGTGGGTTCCTCCGTGTCTCGAGGTCTTTGGGCGTGGGAACCTGAGGGCGTGTCCATTTGTCTAGTCGTTCCGGTTTCCAAGGTTTGATGAGATTCGTTGGAAGGTTGACGGTGACTAAGACGCTGGCCTTTGATGCGACGTCCGCCTCGACGTGAAGTTGCGAGAACACATTCTTGGTGTTTCTCAATGCACCGACGGCATGGAGGATCTCCAGGTATACCGGTAGAATCACTATACAATGGTAAGTTAACAATAACGATGTAATGAATTAGCAAGGCGTGACTTACAGATCGCAACGCGTCTTTCGAGATCTGCAACTGATGCACGCTCTCGAAACTCTCTTGTCGGTGTCTGCTGGCGCTGGTGGAGTCATTGTCGTTGCAATAAGGGAAGTCAAACACCGAAGACAGAAGGAACACGCGGCATTTGAACCAAAAGACCGGCACCTGCCTTTACCTGAGGGTAATGATGTTTGATTCCATCTTTGCCAAGATAAGTATAGGCAGGAGATAGACTTTGAACTAACGTTCGGTAGTCCAAGCGCCAAAGTCACAAGGAGGAAGGTACGTGAACGACGACGGAATGTTCCGCCATTTTCGGGTAATCGGCAATTGCTCCAAATTCATGAATTACGGAACTCAATATCACGATCATTAGCCCTGCCACATTCTAGATATCCCTGCTTCTGTATTGTTTAGGTATCTATTTCAAACCACCGCTAAGTAATATGTCCTGCCCAGTCAGGTATCCGCTCTTTGCCAGCCTATCAAAGGAATTAGTAAACTTCAGCACACTCACACAAAGCAGACTTACATGATTATCACGTTACAAACTTCATCGGGACACCCCAATCGATGAACCGGTATAGAAGCAGCAATGGCAAGTCCGGGGTCCGTTTCCTTGAGGTCTTCCAGATCACATCCTTTCTCCCAAGTCCTGTGATCAGAGATTAGCTACCGTGACACCTGTGAGGAATCAAGACATACTCAGATTTTGGAGGTGGTATCATCCCAGTAGAGCCGATCATGGCTGGAGAAACCTATACGGTCAGACTTGGGCCATCGAAAGACATGAAACAACTTACAGTGTTTACTGTGATGCTTTCGGGTGCCAGCAAAGTAGCCAGATTGTGACCCATCGAACTTTGAAATTCTGTCAGTACAGCCAAATATGGCAGCTTTCAGGTCCGACTTACCTAAGTGCTCCTTTAGAAGCCGCATAGTGACATCCATTAAGCCCGCTCCCTCTCGCAGCGATACTTCCGACCAGAATCACTCGTCCCCATCCTTGCTTCCTCATACCTTCGATACAAGCCTTCGTAACAACAAACTGGCTTCGGCTGTTGATCTCCATCATCTCATCCCAGTCATCCTCGTCTATATCTGCTACATCGCGGATTCGTCGTCCCAGTCCTGCATTTGCTACCAAAATCGAAACCGCTTTGTGCTTGGATGATACAACGTCTTGGCTGAGTAAATTTGGTACAAGGGATCTTGTTGATTCCCTGTGTGAGAGATCTGCTTGTACCGTTACAAACAACTGTGATGGGTAGGTTTTTGTTAGCTCTTGTGCGAGCTTGTCTGCCTTGTCTTTGTTGGAAGAATAGTGAATGGCGATATCGCAACCTTCAGAAGCAAGGACTCTGGCTACAGCGGAACCTATTCCGCCACTATAGATGTCAGTTGAATTCATCATACTTTGTTTCTCAATGGATCACGACACACCTTGAGCCCGTCACCAAAGCCAATCGGCCTTTGATATTGTTGTCGACTGGCTGTAATCGAAGCATCATCTTTGTTCGTTCCTACAATCTGCAACATGTTTCTTTAATCATCAACACTGACGTCTTATAGGAAACGCTAACCTTGAAGACCTAGCTCCGCCGACTATCCGAAAACCATGCATTGACCGCCATCGGCAACTCCAAACGCCGTTTCAAACACCGACGGCAAATGATTCGAGTCTAGAACGTCTCTTCTCGTCTGATCGATTCTGGAGAACGTCAAACCTTCCCCGCAGCATCAAACTAGGAAACATGGGGACCCCAGATAACGCTAAACTATCAAGATGTCTTTATTAACCCATCATGCCTCTTGCTTGGCTGTTCGTCTCAATATCTAGCATCTCCAAGATTCAACACTGAAGCCTCATCCTCTCTGTTACAACTCTGGTGCATTGAAGTAATCATTGACCGCCAACATGGAGTTGCAAGGTCAAAGCCTCATCTTGACCGTCAGTGTCTTGACATCGCTGGGCTTTATGCTCATCGGTTATGATAATGGCCTCATGGGTGGTCTTGTCAACACTTCAGCCTTCAAGGACACATTTGATGATCCTGATGCCGATATGATTGGTGTCATTGTTGCAATTTTTGAAAGTATGTTGGTCTCCCAAAAACATTGATGATATTTACTTACATTGGACTCCTTAGTTGGATGTTTCTTTGGTGCCATCTTTGCAGCCATCTGGGGCGAAAAGCTCGGTCGTCGTCGCTCAATCCTTATCGGCTGCATCGTCTTGATTATTGGTGCTGTCCTTCAGGCTTCTTCTTATAACCGAGCTATGATGATTGTCGGCCGAATAGTTTCGGGTCTTGGGCTTGGTACCATCAACTCGACTGTCCCTGTTATGCAGGCAGAGTTCAGTCCCAAGTCCAGCAGAGGAATCTACGTCTGTGCCCAGCTCTCAACTCTCAACTTTGGTATCTTTCTTGTCTATTGGATAGACTATGCTCTGTCTTCTCACCAAGGAAGCTACGCCTGGCGTGTCCCCGTTATCCTCCAATGTGTCCCCATCATTGTCATGATCTGCCTCTTGACCATCATCCCCGAGACACCACGTTGGCTGGCAGCACATGACAGACCAGAGGAGTGTCTTCAAGTCCTCGCTCGAATCCAGGGTACTTCTGTCGATGACCCTGACGTGCGGGTCCTCCATAGTGTCATCACTCAAACTGTCGCCTATGAGACGTCGATTGGCTCTGGTTCTTGGAAAGACCTTCTCAAGGAAGATAGTATCAAGTCTCGCAAGAGACTCATTTTGGCGTGCGCCATACAATCCTTCCAGCAATTGGGTGGCATCAACGCTATCATTTGTAAGTTTTCTTTGGTTTTGATACTGTAATAGTATACTGACGATCCTAGACTATTCGAGTACTTTGTTTGAGAAGAGTGTTGGCTTCTCTGCTCACATGTCAGCTCTCATGTCAGGTTTCCTACAGACATGGTTCTTTGTCGCATCTTTTATTCCATGGTTTTTGATCGATCGCATTGGACGTAGGCCTCTGGTAAGCACGGACACTCAATTCCCAATAATTACTCTAGCTGACAGCACCGTAGCTACTATCCATGATCAGTCTCATGGCTGCCACTATGGCTGTCCAAGCTGGACTGATTTATCAAGTGGAGAATAACACAGCCTCGGCGCATGCTTCAGGAATTGCAGCAGCAGCAATGCTTTTCATCTTCCAAGGAGCATTTACTATCGGTTTCCAGGCTACTGTTTGGGTCTACCCGTATGTTTTGATACTGAAACACAAAATTAAAACCTTCACTAACACAGTCTAGCTCCGAGATCTTGCCCCTTCGCCTGCGACAACGTGGTTCGTCTATTTCTACAGCCGCCAACTGGATCTTCAACTACGTAAGCTTTCTACTCCAACAAGAGATGGCTCGTACTAACTCGTTTCCAGATGATTGTACAAATCACTCCCATCTCAATCAACAACATTGGCTGGAGAACCTATATCATCTTTGCAGTACTGAACGCTCTCTGGGTTCCTCTCATCTTCCTATTCTTCCCTGAGACCAAGGGTTTGGAGTTGGAGGACGTTGACCATCTTTTCGGTGGCGAGGACATTGCCAGGACACTGGATGAGAAGAGCCACGGCACTGTAGTTATGTTGGAGTCTGTGGATCGAGATGGTACTGCCTAGATGAGTTTTGGATCCTTTAAATCGAGAATTTCTCGAATTATTTGTATTTATTTTTAGTAAGATATAGTCTCATCTCAATTAGTGTATCTGAACACATATACTATTTCGACGCGCAACAGTTCATGCCGATAATTTGTGCAATGGACAAAAACTCGCACGGGGCACCGCTCGATAGTAAACGTCATATCTTCTTATGGGCCCGGCGATTGAGATATTATGTGACTTCTCAGTGATCGGTTCCCGGCACGCATTTGCCGCTGAGGGGTAATATAAGCCGCATTATTTAGTCTAAACTGTAACACCAAAGCCCGATGACCGACGGCAGCTCTTCGCCGCAACCAGTGATTATGAGCTTCGACCACCAGCCATATTATTGTCGTATTTCTCCCGAAAAATATCAAGTTTAACGTTTACATCCTTGAAACTGAACCAGCTATATTTTATTACAGACATTGCACAATGGCATTCAAAGCATATCATAATGATGGGCAAGCCATCTTCGGTACCTCTCCAAAACTGGACCTTCTGCACGAGAATCATGACTACCCCTTCGCCCACGAAGCGGGCGTCTTTATTCCCGAGCACAATTCCATCTTCATCACGAGCAACCAATACAGTGATCCACAAACTGGACAGCGGAAAATCCAGATAAGTAAAGTCGACCTTTCTCCCGATGGGGCGTTCCTTGGCTGTGAGGAGATCGATGCACCGGCTGTGCCCATGGCCAACGGAGGCGTGAACTACAAAGGCGGTATTCTCTTTTGTTCGCAAGGCACATTGGATGAGCCTGGTGGCCTTGTCTTTATGGAATCTGCGCCCCCGTATCGCTGCTCGACTCTTATCAGTTCGTTCCATGGAAGAGATTTCAACTCTGTCAATGATGTGGTTGCCCACTCTGATGGGTCTATCTGGTTCACTGATCCTATCTATGGATATGAACAAGGTATACGCCCTAAACCAAGATTGCCATGCCAAGTCTATCGATATGATTCCAGCGATGAATCTATAAGGGCGATTGCAGATGGATTTGGAAGGCCGAATGGTATCTGCTTTAGTCCTGATGAGAAGATTGTTTATATCACTGATACGGACTGGATACACGGCGATGGATCAACCGATGATTCGCGCGTGTCAAACATGTAAGTCGAACAGTGCTTACCATAATTCTTGGTCCCAATTTACTAACAGTAGAGTCATTAGATATGCCTTTGACGTAATGCACTACTCAGGCCAACCGTTTCTCTCCAACCGAAGGCTTTTCGCCATGGCTGATGTTGGCGTACCCGATGGAATCAAGTGTGATACAAGCGGCAACGTCTACAGTGGCTGTGGTGATGGAGTCAGTATCTGGTCGCCAGGTGGAATATTACTAGGCAAGATTCTTATCGAGGGCGGCGTTGCAAACTTTTGCTTCGGCATAAACGGCGAACTTTTCATGCTTAATGAAAGCAAAATGTGGCGAGCACAGCTTGGCAGTGGCGTGAAGGGAGCTTTACTCAATATTTAAGAACAGGTATAGCATAAAATCGTTCCATACAATTCAATTTTATCAATTTCTAATACATATTATAAACTAGATAAACCGTGAGATACGAATGCAAAACATTCACCAAGCTTGTTCTGGCAACAACTCGTTCCCGACCCAATCCCGTCCATTTAGAATGGTTTCCTGGTAGTCTCTATCCATCTGAGAGTTACTAAACCAAGCATCTTCGAAATAGCCAGGAGAAGCACTGTCAGAGTTCTCCCATAGATAGTCTTCCGAATCTCGCGGTTTAACGCTACCCACAGGACCCTGAAACTCAGCTGGGCTAGCCAAAGTACTGAAATTGTTGTTTTCAAGAGTTCGATCGCCTGCAGAAGTATTTTGATCAAACATAGCAATTTCTGCAGGTTTCGACCCACAAAATTGGTGAGAGATGGGTGTTGCTTTAGGAGACGATGGGGATGCGTGATACAAAGGCTCGCACTCTGTGATTTCTTTGTCCATACCAGCAGCATCGACCTGGCTGTACTGGGTATTCTCGATGACTTGCGTTTCGCGCAAGGCCGGTGTACAAAGAAGATCGTTTTTGAGATCATAATCTCGGCACATTCGTTTAAGATACTCATCACATATCATCTTGATGGCTTGTTCGCACTCGGGTCCTTCGAATTGTGATTCTGAGATCACTTCATCACGGATCTTCCGAGCCTGTGGACCGCGAAAGAAAACTTCCACCAGGTCCATAAAATTACCCATTGCCTTATTGACGTAAGGACTGAAGCCTTGAGATTCTCCGGAAAAGAGAATTTCGTAGAACCTGAACCATTGTTTCTCGTGAGACAAACCACTAGGTTTTTTCTCAAATATCTCGAATTTCATTTCCTTTGTCATAAACCCAGGTGGAGGGCCAGATTTAACTTGACAAAACCGATGTGCCGCCTTCTCCTCACTCGTTGAGCACCAACGCCAACACCTATCACAGTGTTCTTTCCAATGAACATTTGCGATATGTTCCTTAATAACTCTGAGTTGTGTAGGACTGTTCTTGCAATGGTAATTCATCGGCCTCCATTTGACATACGGACAAGCCCAACGCAGGCTCTCTTCAGTGACAGATGGCTTTCTCTTCTTGTCCTGAGCACCCTCATCTTCACTTTCCTCATCGCCACCCACTGCTTTGCGTTTGCCAGACTTCGGTTCGACCCTGGATCTTCCGTTGACGCCCCTTCTTTTGCCCTCCACATTGTCCAAGGCAGATCCGGTGACATTCTCCGATGCTCTCGTAGCCCGGGCTTTTGATGCTTGTGGTGCACATGACCTGTAAAAGTCATCCATGAGCAGTTCTACCGCCCACTCTGCGTAGCTTTGCATAGCCCTCACTAGCTGTGGATCAGAAGGTTCTGCGATGGCATCGAAGTCTATTGTTCCCGAAGAGCTGGCGGTGCTGCTCGAAACGGAACTCGTCGTAGACTCTAGCTCAAGGTCCCCATGCAATATCGCAGGACTTAAGTCCTCCATAGAACTGCCTATACCAGCTATACTTAGAGAGGGGAGTAGGCCATCCCGAGAATCCTGGTTCATCAAACTTGCTGTAGGCTCGTGTGGTTCTGACAAGACACGTTCGGAGCCTAGATCGACTTTGGAGAACCTATCATCTGGTGTTCTTGCGACTCCAAATGGCTCTCCACCGAAGCAAAGGCCAGATTCCTTTTGCCACGAAAACTCGTAAGATTGGGAGAATGAAAAGACACCTCTGCCCCAGACGACTGAACCTTCAAGCGGCACAGAGAGCGATGTTCCTGATTGTGAAACTGACGGCAAACTCTCAGGGCCCATATCCAATACCTCCAATCGCCTGAGGGGCATGAAAGGCAATTCAATTCCTTCTAGTCGACGATGACCAGGGTATTGAGAAACCAGATCCAGCCCTGGATAGGGTATAACCGGATCTTCAAGGCCATCGCCCAAGGCCAGTAGCAAGGGGCCATTGTCTAAGTCTTCTTGCCGACTCGATAAACCTGGCTCTAGGACCTAGTGGTAGTAATATTGTTAGTGGAATGCCGTTCTTATCAAGTACAAATGGCATAGGAAATATGGCCGACTCACCCTGAGCGAAGGCTTGGCAGGTGCTGTAGCGTCCGGCGAGTCACCAGCAGCATGTTGCGTCGATTCGTCAATTTGGTCAGACATGAATTGATGACTTGGAAAATAACCGAGTTTAACAAGTTTCGCATAAAAATGCTAATGGATATAAAAATGAAGATGAAGAAAGATAGTCAGACGGGTCGCGAATTGGGCTGTCATTTTATGTAGAATCGCTTTGCGGTCGTGACTTCTTTTTCGCCCATATTTGAGGTATCGACTGCATTTCCTGTAAACCCTGTAAAAAGCTGTTGGTGGCTGCAAGTGAGACCCAATGAGCGGCCTCAAAACCAATTCGCCCTGGTCGAAGAAAAGGAAGAATGATTTTCATTCGTCAGAATAGAAAATTAATGCTGGAATAAAAGTTGCGAGTTGACCGCCATGATAATGTCCTGTTGTTGTGGCAGCTCCAAAACCAAATTCACGGTTCCAGGATTGCTTTCTATACAACTATGGTTGGTTCACGTGCAAAACAGGATCTCACACACAGAGCTCTAATTTCCTCCCAACAGGATCACTACCTAAGAATTGTATGTTCCTATCAAAATATAGATATGCTGAAAAGATAGAATCGCCTGAGCACCTTTCTGTATCCCCCTTGTCCTTGTTCGATAAATTCCGGATGGATAGGTACTAAGCTTTATCAAGTCAGATTGTAAGGAGTTTTCGTCTACCTCCAAGTTTGAATCTCCTGGCTTATATAATGTCGTTCTCATGTCATTATTTAGATGTTTTCAACTTGGCTGTGAGTAACCATGATGACGCGCACCCAGCTTTTAGATGAGCATCTCTAGCCGGCATTTACTTCTCCAATTCACTTTCATGCAGATCATCAAGAGTCTCTAGGAAGCCCTTGTGTTACTCGTTCATTATTCATTATGTGTGTCGCGACGTTTAGAATTACGAGTTGCTGAGCCCATTGCATAGCCAGTACTCACTCAGTCACAACTGCCCACAGCGTCATCCATCAGAGAACTTACTATTATAAGCGTAGCACTTATCTATAGCTATTTATCAATTACACGTCTTTGCTTTACAAATCGCTTCGTGAAAGTGTGCATTTTCAAGTCATCAGATGCACTCAGAGTGGTGGGAGTCTGGTGTATATGATGGCTATATTCCCTGAGTTATCTCCGTTGCTTAACTCAAGAGTGCTTCCTATGCTGCGTCGCCATTGTGAGAATGCTCATTCTATTACGTTTCCGTGTGTAAAGGCCGAAGATATAGGTATATTAGCAGCCATGAATGGTTTGTTGATAGCACACTTACCTATCTCCAAGGTGGGTAGTTTAGTAGATAAGAGAGGAACTAAACAGTAGTTTTACCCATAGAAGGAACAGTAGTTGAAATATTGATGCCAACTGTGGTCGGTCATTGGCAATACCATTGTTCCGTGTGTTGTCTTTACGTTGAGTGTTCGCACTGAATTCCCGATTAGGCAGTTCGTACTGCAACGCTATGACTGTCACTACAGATGCCTGTGAAGAATGCTTCGATTGCAATTAACCGCCAGCATTAAAGAAAGGCATAAGCGAGGTAGTTTGGTGGTTACTTTGCCGTTGATCGTGCAATATCAGGCTACCAAACTATGGCTGAACCCTTGCGCCTTGTGGATGAAGTCATAACTTGGCGTTAAATGAAGTCATCAAGTCGATCACGAATGTATGGATTTGATCGCAAGGCAACAATCTGTCTTATCTTATCTTAACGATCAAGTGACAGTGATATTGGTGACAGGGATGAGACTCAGCCCAGTTGAGCTGGGTATTTTAGGTCTTTTTAGGCTAGTGGGCCCCTAGACAGTTGTCACTTGAGCCTTACCAGGCGGCTACAGACTAGACCTAGACTCTAAAGTACGCCACCTACCGATTAGACAGACAACTAGGCTTCTATTTTCCTTCCATCGCACATGGTAGCGCTTGAAATCTGACAAAAACATATTTCCTACATAAATCCATCCATACAATCTATCCAATACAGCCAAACATCGGTTAGATTAAGGCTTTGTGGTGGATACACAGGACCCCAGTTTGGCAATTAGACTCATCCTTCGTTCCGTTTCCGCCTCCGCTCAGCCTTGCTAGGATTTGTCCCTGCAGGGATACGATCTCGATTGCTTACCTCGTTAGGCTTTTTCGGGTCGCTGTGCCTCACAGAGTCTCATTTCCCTCGTGTTGGCCAGCAAGTGAGCTGTTCGACAATGCCTCAGAGTGGGTTGATAGGCAGCCGCAGAGGGTCTAGAAAGATTGACCCCACGGTGTGACTCTGTTTTCTGTCGATCGTGACATTGCAAACACCAGGCATCACATAGTATAAGTAGACCCTGTGTTCCCGCTTCAAGTTCTTCCATCATCATCTCTCAGAAACATCACAACTTCACACACAAGTTTATCCACTACAAACTCACTTGCAAATATGCAGACCAAGTACCTCAGTATCCTCGGCGCTACCGCCGCTGCTGCTGCGAGCGTTTCTACTCGTGATGTCAAGCACGTCGACGTCGTTCACATCTTCCAGACTCTTCACGTCACAAACCAAGTCCCCAACTTCACTCCCAACAAGCGCAGCATCAACGCCCTCTTTGCTCGCGACTCGAATGATAAATGCCAAAGCTCAGCTACTTCCATCCTACGAACCTTTCCCACTCCCACAGGCAGTCTCAGAAACTATCTCAACGCTGCCGAAACCCCACGCGATTCCTGCACTCTGGAGGTCCCTTCTTCAATCTCATCTGACTTGATGAGCTACTACACCACCTTGGTCAATTGGGAGATGGACAAAGGTGACGATTTGGTCAAGTTTGTCCAGAATTGCGCCAGTCAGGATGATCTTGACGAGATCAACAAGGAGCTGGGCGGCTCAGAGTGCTCTGTTCTTGGCACCATCATTTTCACTGCTGCTAGCACCACCAAGACTGTCAATATCGAGACTGCATTCCCCAACTATACTCCCATCACCCTGCCCACCGCTGTTAACGACGCCGGCTTTGCTCGCGGTATCAGCAAGTTTGCTGCGGCCGCCGCTGCAGGTGTCGCTGGCTTCATGATGGCTGCTTAATTGGGATGATGTGACGAAAGATCTACCGTTCTACGATTGATGGGTGAAGCGTTGGTCTATTTTTTTGTGTCAATTTTTGTTATATGATATCCGGTGCACGATGCACTTTTTCAAGTAATTTATAGATTATATATGCATACCCAGTCTAAAATTAATAATTTGTTATAACTAAACATCTGGATAAGGTGTGCTTGTGAGTTGTTTCTTAAATGTTGGACGTAACTACCCTGGTGGGTAACAGAAGAGATGGCCTGCCCTGAAGGTTTAGGGTATAAAAATAAGCAGCCTAAGGAATCGATCTAAAGAGCATAAACTGACCTACTAGTTTTGTTTTCTATGCCTCTGGAGGCCAATATACCCTAAGGCCTTTACATGTTTTAACGCAGCTGGTTGTTATTCATTGTGGTTGTAGTTGTAGACTCGTAGCCAATGGGATCCACAAAAGTTTGATCAAGATGTCTATTATCATGACGTCTCATTTGGGTAGCCAACTGACTCTCTCAATCTTCAACTCCCAAAAACACTTTACTACCATGTCACAAACCCAATCACTATTCAACTGCCTAATAAGAACTCACCACATAACATCCCGCAAAAAGCTCTCGCGCGTCCGCCGCGCAGCCCAGCAGCTCAACGTAGACTGGCTTCTCGTGCGGAGCGGCGGCTCACCGGGAATAATGTTTGCCGAAGCGCGCGACGAGGCGGGACTGACGGAGTGGGTTTCCGCGGTGCAGGCTCTGCGGTACAAAGATTTCCGTTGCATTGCGAAGCCGGCGCCTGTGCCATCGGAGAGAAGTGTGGTGGGGGTGAGGAGGACGGGGTTTGACGAGACGGGGGAGGTGAAGGAGTTTGCAAAGTTCATGGAGGAGAGGGGATTGGGGGAGTGGTGGAAGAGGGGGATGGGGTTTGTTTGAGGCTGGTAGAGGTGGGAGGACGAAGTTTGTGAAGAAAGATGAGGACGACGCGTCGGACGCGCGGCATGGGGATCACTGAGGGAAAGGAGGGGAAGAGTGAGTTTCTTGGATGAAGTTTGGGGTGATACAGTACTGAACCTTGGTTAGCTGGACCTGGTCATGACTATTGGGAGTAGTTGCTCCCATTATGGAGTTTAGTCTCCTTGTTTCAGGCCTGCAAGACACCAAGCTCGCCAAACGAGTATCCAACGACATCTCGAAGCCGGTTAGATGTTCCAGCCAGATTGGGAGGCTGGCGAGGCCCGAATCTGGCAACGTCCGGGGGAAACATCGTGAACCTTCTCCAAAATTGTCGAACTTCAAGATATAACACATCCTCAGGGTATCAGAAAGGTTGGCTGCTAGAAGCATAAGAGACGAAACCAGGAGGTTAATTTATGATACTCAGGCCATACATCTTAGACTACTTATTTTTGTTCGATAATACTTATGAAGCCAATCTTTGCTCGTCACTGACATACGCACTAGGTTTCCCCAGATTCCACAACACACCTGTTAGGGACCATTTTGATGGTTCTCTGGTGTTATACCATTGCCCTGCTGGGGCGGTTCTTGGTATTGCTCGCTGGTGACATCCGAATGCTGATAAGGCAGCATAGATTGTTTATCTGGTAGATCGTAGCCATGTTAGTAGGGTCATTTTTATACCCAGACAAATGGGCTGTCGATCTATGTTGACATTTGTCATGGAGAAGTTGTGCTTATATTCTCTTTTTGCGGCAGTTCATTGCTCTTTGCGCTGAAACGTTCTGTATAGCATATCAGTACATTCGTAACGGCCCTCATGGCATCATGGAAATCAGCCACAGGAATCATGTGAGATGAAATCAGCGAGTCAGTTTCCCTTCTTCATTCGTTTTGCTATTTAGATCAGCCTCTATGGATCCGGGTAGTGTACTCGTAAATATGGGCTGTGACAGCCTCATCGTTGTGCTTTGTGCCACGATCTTTGAAGGGCAACTGCTAAGGAGCAAAAAAGTTAGCCTTATAAGTCTTAGAGTGTAAAAATATATATCCTAAGAATTATGATCTAAGTAGCATAAACCAACTTACTAGTTCGTCCCTTTCGCTTTCACCGGCTGACGTTTCCAATATTCTGAGGTCGGTGTCAGGGGGAAAGGTGAGAAGGAGGGAAGAGGTTTCGACAATCGGCGGCGTAAAGGTCCTGTCCTCTCCTGTTCTCTTTTCTTATGCCGCGACTCCATTCTTCATCTTCTCCCACATCTCAGAAGGATAGACCGCCAGGCTTTCGTCACAGTCTCCACATCCCTTACAGTCCGGGCCCCATTCGCCTGTATAAAGGTTCAGACTCCAATCCGCCGACCTTTCTCCGCAAGGACCAGTTTTGAGGTCGAAACGATCAGGCCTGGCAGGAAAGTTCTTCCAATAACCTCCATCCTCTCTGTTCATGAGCGTGCAGACGTACACACCGGCGTCTCGTCCGGCAGTGAGAGTCTCTGGGAAAGTAATCCGTCCCGTTTCGACGGCAAAGGCTTCATTGGTCATATCCCCATGCATTCTTTCCACGTGCTCGACGTAGATGACTTTGAGATCCTTGTAATCGCCTGACTCGATGAGTCGCGCGAGCAAGAAATCGAGATTTTCACATGGGTCAATTTCATAGTCTTGAAATTTAGTGTGTCCCCAGACATAAATTGCCTCCATATTAGGCGGAAAGGCTTGTTGATACTCTGCGTCTTGCAAATTGTCTATAGCCGGGTTGCCGCTTATCCCGTAACCCCCCTCTTCGATGTCAATAGCTGCTATGCTGAAATGCGTCATGGCCTCAAAAGCCTTGAAGTCAGAAGGGAGATGTGAAAAGACCCCGTTGACACGAATTCCTGTGCCGTTATAAGTGATTAGCCGCTTTAGGTGCCGGCTCTCGTAGGATAGGGCGGTTACGAGCGTGCCAATTTCGTCGGTTTGACGTATAGTCGAACTCCGGGCCCGGATAACGAGCGTGTCCAGATCTTTTGGTGCGCTGGCAAGGGCGTCGTAAAATTCTTCGGAAAGATCGGAGGGGCTATCGAGAAAGAGGCATTCGACACTTGATGTGGAGATGGGAAACCTATACGCTTCGCAGAATTCGAAATCCTCGTCTTCTTCTTCTTCTTCTTCTTCCTCCTCCGAGTCTTGGCTTTGGAAAGCTCCGCAGATGTACAGGTTCTTAAGACGTGGGAGGTGTAAAAGCGTTGCAAGGATGGAACCATGTACCACTTCTTGTTCTTCTTCATCGGGGGACAAGCCTATTGGAACACCAACCGCCATATTCTGTATCGACTGAAAGCCCGGTGGCCATATACCGCCAGGGCTCTTGCTCCGTTGGATAGTTCTTTCAATCCATAAGAGACTTGACAAGATATCGTCCGGTCGGTTGACAAATCGGACACTGTGGAGTCGAGGGCATGATGCGACGAGGAGTAGTTTAAGATATGCATCACTGCCTGATTGCAAATCTTCTTGGGCATCGTTGATCTCGAAGTCAAAGAAGTCCCACAAGTCGATTCCCTTTCGAGTCAATCTCTGTAAGTCTTGTGTGCTCAACGATGATCTCGAAGGAGTTTCTTCAGCAAGCCCGTATGCACCAGGCAGCTCTGGAGCCCACGGCCGCCAGGCTCTCCAACTTTCTCGGCTACCCCAGATCTCTAGCTCGCGAACATGCCATCGCTCGATTTCCGCCGTGGGGCCATCTCTCAGTAGATGAAGCACTGTTTCCGGGGACAAGTCCGACGTAATTTTGTACTTGTTGTAAGCTTCGCGATGCTGCTCCAGAACGGGCTGGCATTGGCTATACAAGGCAGAGCAAGTGAGAGCGAGGGGAAGTATTATGGAGGGACAGTTGGTGTGATCGACGATTTAAAAGATAAGCTCAGGTGAGAGACTAGGCAGCGATGCCGACTTGGTCATCCTGAGCGCAGGTCTTCTTGCTAGACCTCTTCTTGTGAGATTTTGTATAGATGATCTAATGAGTAGCAAAAAGTTAGCCTCCTAAGTCTTGAGAAATAAGAATAAATAGCCTAAGAAGTCTGGGCTAAGTAGCATAAGCTGACCTACCAATTTCGTCTCTTATATTTCTGACGTCCAATATTTTTGATAGGTACTCTGAGGGATATTTTCTATCTTTGTAGAGGGGAGTTTCTGACTAGGTATATGTCTGAGTACTATGCTGATGCTGGTGGGTATGGAAGACTGAGCTGGCGGTGGTGGATCTGGTGCCTGCAATTATTTTGTATCTTAGGCAACCAGTACCAAATTGTTTGCAACCCAGAGAATGGCTGAAAATTCACTGCCAAAACGATGGGAAGGTGCAATAGTCCAAGAATACCTAGGTAAACAATCATTTTGGATCACGGGATGCAGGCATGTATTGGGTACGAGGTAGTAGGTTAGTAGGTAGTTACGCATAACCTCAAGGGACGAAATCAGTAGGTGAACTTTATGCTCTTTAGATCAGATTTCTTAGGCTGTTTATTTTTATACCTAAGACTTAACGAAACATCAACATAAAATACATACATATCTTTCGTGAAAGGGTATAAAGTGAAGACCTGGGATGAACTTTCCCCCGTTTCCCTGTATCGCGCGCTCCCAAAAAGCCTCCTACACGCCGCGGAACATACGCACAACCAAGAACCACATCGCGCCGATGAATTTGAATGCACTGAGGCCCGCAACACTCCACAAGACGATAGACATATAGATGTTAGAGCGGCTTAGTTGGTCTGCCTCCTTATCTGTCTTGGAGCTGATTCGGTCTAGGCCGGCCGAACTAAGGACGAGAGCTGCAAGACCGAAGTTTGTAACCATCCAAAGAAGCACAACACCGGTACGGACACCTCTATAGTAGTCCATCTGCCTCTCTTGAAGCTGGCTAGGGGTTGGGGCGGTCTTGACCTCCACGAACTTTTGAGCAAAGACAGCGATTTCGCGTTGGTATTGTGTATCCAGGTCACCCTCGTCGGGCAAGTCCGTTTTTCCGGTACCGTCTTTGGTGTTGACGGAAGGAAGCTCTTCAACCTTATCGTCACCCTTTGTACCCCAAGAAACATCGTGCGTGTTACAGAAGGCGTAGACGTTCAGGACGTTGGTGAAGGTGGGCGTGAGAAGCATATACTGGGCGAATGACGTAACCATGTGCCAAGGGTCCAACATGATCAACGATGCGATAAGCCAGATGCCGTAAGTCGACATCACCGAGATAATCAACATATAAAAGACCTTATTCTTGAATATATCAGAAAAATTAAAGCCGTTTTCGTCGTTGACGTCGGCAATAATAGCCTTGACCGAGATGAAGATTGCAGCAAACATTAGATAGCTAGACGATAGTTAGTAACAACAAGTAGGGCGGATGAGACGGTCAACTTACATCATGATGATAGCCCAGAACCAACACATGGCAGAATAAAGCTTACCAGAGCCAGCTGGTCGATTACCGAGTGAAAGCACGAAGCAAGTAATCAAGAATACACCGTAGAGCCAAGTGAAGACGACACCGAGAATTTCACCTGTCCTTCCGAGTAATGTTTCGTCTCCCAAACTCGTCGTGAGAATCTTGAAGACCAGGAAGAAGTTGCCAATAGCAAACCAAGCGAAGATCATGTTGATTGTGTTGAAGATGAATTCAATAAAGAAGGCGAATTTTCGGAGGAACGTATGGTCGGACCGGAGGAAGTCGAGGAAGTGAACAATGGCGTAGATAGCAGCGAAGAAAGAACCGTTTAGCCAACGACGTCGCTGGAGGACTAGCTCCGTCACCGTGTCGGGCACATCAGTTTCGCCTGTAGCTGACTTGACGTATTGCAGGATCCAATGGCAGTTGCGTTTGGTGACGAGCTCGAAGCAAAGAATACGATCTTCGGCGAGATACATGTTGGACTCGAAAAGGCCGGCATCACTTCCTCCGTGAAGGGTCTCTCCCAGGAAATACTTCTCAAGGGGGCCCTTTCCGTTCTTATCGTTTTGAAGGGCAACGTAGCGGTAGGCCGAGAAAGCACCAGGCAACACGGAGATGAAACCAAATGCGGATTCAAGTGGTTTGTCGAGAATGTTACTCATCTTGTACTCAAAGTTCTGAGCAGCGACCAGAGGGTTCAGGAGAAACCTTCCACCAGTACCCAACATAGCCTTGATCTCACCACAGGCACCACCACACATGGGCTCAAGATCAAAGGCCTTCCACAGATGGTAAATTGAGCTTCCACCAGGTCGTGTACCAGCATCAAGAAGAACACAGATGTTAGGCTCCAAAACGCGACCAAAAGCGTTAAAGAACCATCTGTGCGAGTTGATCTTCTTGGCGTTCTTCTCCTTTAAACAGAAGAGCATCTGGACAGGCTGGCGCCTGTGAACAAGCTGCACAACGTTGCTCTTGATCTGCACATGAGTTTGCGTGGTATACTCGTAGATATGAGCTGTGACGGCCTTGTCATTGACATGTTGCTTGGCGATGCCTTCCTGATAAACACCCATACCAGCCAACAAGGCCCTAGTGCGAGGATTGATCTTGGATCGACCATCGCTAACAACACACACAACGATCTTCTTCCAAGCGTCCTTGCCCCATGTCTTGCTGTTTGGTCGGTTACACATGTACTCGATGTTCTTGAAAACGCCAGCCATGGTACGCGCAAACAAAACCTCGTCCTCGTTGTACATTGTCACGACGATGAAAAGCTCGGTATGGCGGGGCTTGCTGAAGAGTCTTTGCCGTAGCGTAAAGTCGCAGTCGTAAAAGTCGTTAGGGTCGCAGGTGGCAGCCGAATATCGCATATGCGTAAATTCATCGCGCTCGCCGTGGGGATTCTGTTGTAGAAGGAGGGGAGGAACGCGGCAGTCAAAAACAAGGTTGCCGCGATACAGGGCAAATTGCTTGACTGTCTTTCGACGTTGTATGCCACCACCTTGTTGGGGTGGCTCTTGGTATTGCTCGCTAGGGACATCCGAGTGCTGATGTGGTAGCATAGGTCGGTTGTCAGGAACGTCGTAATCATGTTCGTAGCCTTGATCGTAGGATTGATGTTGAGGTTGAGGCAGAGGACGAGGCTCGTAGGGCTGATTATAGTAGGCATCGTGATGCGCTTCTGGGTTTACAGCGTAATCTCCTCCTGAAGGGGGGCCATAACCGGTCAGGTTGTCAACTGATTGCTGAAAGAAGTCAATATGATGCGTATCTGTAACGTTTAGCAGTTGAAACTTACAGCTGCGTTGAGGCTTAAATGGTCGCTAGGGGTGGGCAAGCGTCCATGAGGATCAGGGCCCGGCATAGCAAGATGCTGTGAAGAGGGGCCATACTGCCCGTAGCGGCCATCGTCGAAGGGGTTATCATCGAGCTGATAGCCTGGCTGAATGGGATGATGTTGACCCGGTGAAGGTGACCGACGCGGCGGCATAGGCTGAGCGCCGTATCGAGGATCCATCTCGTTTGTGTAGTAATCGTCGTCTGCGATTGAAATTAGACTATATGTGACAGAGAAAATAAAGGTTATGTATGTTATGTTGATTGAGCGTGGCAAGCCGAGTTGTCGCAATTACCAACCAGGGTAACAGAGAGGTCCTCTAAGCTTTAGGATAGAAAACATAAATAACCTAAACGTATGATCTAAAAATCATAAACTGACTTGGGTAATTTCGTCTCTTATGCTGTTGAAATTCCCCGAAACAAAGAGGAATTCGAGTAGCAGTCGCAGCGTCAAGTCGCAATTACAACCAGGGGTGTGTTGTTTAAGAGCGAGGGGAGGGAGGAGGGGTATGTCTCGTCTGTCTCATGTTGAGAGAAAGGGAGAAAGGGGGCTAGATGATGATCGAAGGGTCACTAGTGATTGACTTACTCAGGCGATTATACGACATGATTGCGATTGTGACTGCGCACTCGGGGCGCTATTCGCATATGTTTTGGAGGTATGTAACTCGAATGCGGACTGGGCTGGGCGCGGTTAATAAAGTTGGTTCTGACTGTCAACGATGATGAATGCGCTGGCGGTTGCCCCGGGTTTCGCTTCTGGGCGATCCACTCCAGGTACTCTGTAGAGGATAACAGAAAAGATAACCTTCAAGTCTTAGGGTACAACAATAAATGGCCTAAGATCATGACCTAAATAACATAAACTGACTTACTAATTTTGTCTCTTGTACTTCGATCGGCTAACTTTTCTGGCCACTTCCTCCAATCCAAGCCTGGAAAGCAAGCAAGTAACCGACCGACCGACTGTTTTGTTTGTTTGTTTGCTTGCGCGAAACGATGCGATGCGATGCGTGTCTTTTGCGTAACGTTGTACGAATGCAAAGATGTTTGAGGAGAAAAAAAAAACGAAAAAGGGTGTAGGATTAAAAAAAAAAAAAAAAGCTGACGAAAATATTGGTTTAGGACGAATCCAAATGTATGTCAGACTGCTCGCAGCAGTATCAAAGAGTCGGATCAGTGGCTAACAGTTTGCGTCGACCCTTTGTGGCTCAGCGAGCAGAGATGCGTAACGTCGTCGAAAAATACCAAACTCCTTGGCAGACTCCGTTTATTGCGCTAAATCCAAGGAATTGGAAGGGTTCCTTAATGCAAAAGGCCTTTGTGTTTCAGACGCTTCCCGGATGGGATACCAAAGGATGATCCTCCGCTGACCCAGTGACCGATAAAGAAATGGGTCCTCTTGATAATTAGAACTAATTCGTTGAAAGCCAAAAGGTAAGTGACGTCGAGTTTGGGGCTCGGCTGGAACCGTCAACAGGGATGAGGCAAGATAAGAGCAAGGATCAAGTCTCTAAGCGTGGTTGATGGGAGATGATGAAGTGCAAGAGAGAGAAATGAACAACATATCACGGGGAGGAGCAGACAAGTCTATTATCTTTACTCTACAGAGTACTCTACTGTGTTTCTGCGGTCAGCTGTACCTCAGCCCAACAGCTAGGCTACTAATATAGCTTCTGTCAGCCCAGCCGCAGCCTAGCACAATCCTCCAATTCCAACCAGAGTCTAGCTTCAAGCCGCGCCTCCGCCAGATATCCAGCCCAAAAACATCCAGCCCAGCCCATTTTCAAGCCTTTGCGTCGAATGTAATACCCTTGAGGCTTTTGAGCTGAACTGCAAGGCTCTCTCTAATCACTAGTAGAATGTCTATCTGCCGTTGAACTCTAGTTATTAGACTCGACTAGTCAAGCCATTCATCATCTTGGTCTGCTTATTTTATCTCCTACGGAGTAGATACAAATCCAAAAGTACAGTAAGCTGCAGCCCGCCCTGCATCCCGTCCCCTCCACTCGCACAACCAGTACCTGATCAGCAATCCAAACCAAAGATCCAAAAATACCGATACTCGATGACTAGAAGAAAATATCGGGTTTTTTGTGGTCGGTTATAGAAATGCCGCACAGGTTCTGAACTGCGCCACGACCTGTCAATCAGAAACCCCCTTGCGCCAAGATTCAGGTTTGCGATTGTCTTTGCGTAGTCTTGCCCCAAGCGTTTTGCCATTCCTTACGCGGATAGGTATCCATAAACGACCTAACGAGATAGAATCTCTAGTTCATTCCATTAAACTTGTTGGAACAGATCTTAGGAAAGGGACACAACACCTGCTGTATGTACCGTGGCTCTGCTGTAGTAGGCAGTACTCGCAAAGCTGAAATCCCTGACCCCGCATCAATGTGGAGACGTTCAAAGTCAAAGAGCTTAATCCAACAGAATTTACTGGTTATCGTCTTTTATTCCGACCGCCACGGGACCCTTCAATATAACGGTAAATGCAGGGTCGGATAGAAAGTGCTACCATAAAAGTGCCATTCTACGCATGTACAAATTAGATTCGAAGGAAAGATCGTCTCTACTCAATTTCGGTCTCGTGAGGCCTATGAAACGATTGTGATGCTGGAAGTTATGGCATGAAGAAAGCAAGTCACTATAACCACCAACTCCCAACAAACCATCTGAGTTGAAGGGCAGAGAGAATCAACCAGGATTTCAACTAGACTACTTACAATACATCTCCGGAATCTTTTGCAGATTAAGTTGTAGATCTCTCCTCGTCACGATGGGCCTGCCGCCCTCACTGGACACCGAAGCGCTACAATCTCAAGACTGCCTTGCCTACTCTGTACCTACGGAGACATCAAATCCTCTTAAGAAACACACGAATGTCCTCTAACAGACAACCCAACACGGCATCCAATAGGATTATTGCAAATACATCAAGATGGCCGGGGTCTCAGGTCACGGGGGGTCTTGAATGCTTCAAGAGACCAATGCCGAGCCATAACGGTCCGTCCCTTGTTGACTGCGGCTGAACTCCCTACATATCTCACCCCGGCATCGTCTCAATCTCTCTTCCGCACCAGATTGCCAACGTTTTCTTGGCATGGTCCAATGACTACCACGCAGACATGCAAGCGACCTTGCTCCTAGTCTCGCCTCTTTCAGAATGAACTCATTATCAATAATTGACCACTTCAATGGACGATATTGATGCTATTCAAAGAGAACATAATAGAGATGCGCGATTCTTTAGAAATTCGATCCTGATCTGGACTTTAATACAAACCCGATTGCCGTGTTTGAGTGACTCAGATACCTCCTCCCACCTAGACACCTTGCAGATGGCGGTTTCATATCCCATCGTGACCCTTCCATTACCCGCCAACGCCATTCAGCTCATGCAGCTCATCACCTAATAAACACTTTATCTTTGCAAAGACACCAATTAAAACCTCTTACCCCTGGCATTGATGTCGAACTGCATGCTCTGGCGGGTATAACTTCAATGCCGATCCTCGACTTACACCTCAAATTGGCTAGGCTCATAGTGAGAACCAAGACGGAGGAGGGCATGAGATACGGTGTGGTCAAGTATGTGCCGCAAGACAATCTTCCTGGTGAGTCTGCCGAACTCATATAGCGATGGTCCCCAGTTTATCGTTTAGTGTTGCTTTCGTCTTCGAGTTCTTTATCCCTTCAGATCTGAGGTCACTGCAAAACGATACGACTCCTTGTAGGAGACTCAACTCCCGTAACCATGGTTCGCCTTCTCCCACTCCTCCTTGCCTCTCTCCCTCTTGCCCTATCCGCCGACTTTGAAAGTGTCACCATCAGTTCCAACCTCGACAACATTGGCCACACATGTATCAGCAAATGTCTCTACTACACCGTCCTCAGTGACATGGGCAGGGCCATGGGCTGCGATGACCCCTATGACAACAACTGCTATTGCGCTACGGCAGCGGCATCGGCTACCCAGGCCGATAGATTCATGTCCAAGTGTGCCACATCGCTGTGCTCCGCCGGTGATCGCGCAAGAGACTTGACTTCCATGCAGTCATACTATGCTTCTTACTGTATGGGTGCGGGCTTCACGCAGCCAGGTGCCACTGAGTGGTATAACCCAGCGGAAGCTACAGAAGAAGCTTCGGAGGCGGCTACTGCAGAAAGCAGTGATGATGGAAGTAATGCGAGACCCAGTCGGACAGCCGACTCTGGTGGCGATGCTACTTCGACTCGTATGACTGTCATTACGCAGACCGCAGAGGATGGTGCTGTCAGGACGCAGGGTAAGTTCCTGCTGCTCATGGTGACGGTGCCTTTGCTGCTGCTTCAGGTACTGTTCCTGTGCTTTTCTTAGTACGAATACTTTGTTAATATGTTTCTACTAGTAATTGTTGATGCGACCTCGACGTACTGGGTAAACAAGGACGGATCTCCAGCATCGGCCAAGAACAATGATGATGGTGGCGGTTCCGCTATCAAGATTGGTGTCGGTGTAGCAGTTCCTGTAGTCGCTCTCATCGCCGGCGCTATTTTTGCATGTTGGTTTATCCGTCGACGACGACAACGCAGGGCTCAACTCTCTCACCCTACCGTACCCCTTACCTCACTCACCACTGGCGGTGGTCCTACCGTTGTCGCCGCTTCTCCATCTACGCCAGAAAGAAGGGACACTCTTCCAAGAAAGCCAGTCGGTGCCTCAACGATCTCTTCTGTTTCTTCGTTGTCAAAAACCAACGAACTGTCTGGTACTGGTGTCCAGCGTGAGCTTGCTGGCCGCGAGGTACACCCCTTTCCCGACATGACACCCAGCCCTCCTATCCAGGTAGCAGGACAGCATGAGATGACCGGTGAGGGTTGGCGGCCGAATTTGGAAATGGATGGTCGTGATGCGCGAGTGGAAATGTCGGGCGTTGCGAGACCTCCTGAGTTGCCTGGGTACACGAATGCAGCGAATGCTTATACACCGCACGAAAGTGTTCAGAGGTGGGAACTGCCCGATAATTCTCGTCAACGATAGGACACAGGCACCAAGTCTTGGTTTCTTTTCTTTATAGGCAGTATACCTTTTATGCCGCGAAGTTGGTCTTCCCACTTAGCAGGGAGTTTGTCGAGGGAGTGTTTGGTTGGGTATGGATGGGTTCGGTATTGGATATTTAATGAATGACTTTTATAAATGTGAATTGACGTTAGATAAAGACACCAGGACAAACTTTTTTCATTATCTGAAATTTCATTGAACGCAGTCACGGCTCGGTAATAATGACTTGACTATTGATTGCCAGGTTGTTGTTGTCTCAACTACGAACGAAATAGGGTAGGGAATTGCAACATGTGATGAACTCGAGTCGACTCACAATATGCCACACAATTTAATTCCATTTAAACAGTATTCGTAAGGAGAACACACTCTTCTTTGACTTTTCGTCTACGCTTCCACTCTCACATTCAGTTCATGGCTCAGGCTGATGTCTCCGTTACCTGATCTCGTCCATCATCACGAACTGTATACACACACAACCATGACTCTAAAATCCCTGCACAAACAAGAGAGCCTCCCTCCCTCCATCTATCAAAAGTAAAAAGAACAAAGGCAATTTAGATGTCAAAACAGCAAAAGAAAGGGTCTGGCCGGGGATTGAACCCGGGACCTCTCGCAAGCAATGCTATAGGGTTTTCCCTAAGCGAGAATCATACCACTAGACCACCAGACCGGTGATAGAGAACATGCTTGACGTTCTGTTGGTGAACGACGAGGTCGTAATTGGAGACTAATAAGGTAGATTGTCATCATCTTGTGGTGTTTAGTAAACATTGATTACATGCATTCCTATCCTTACGACCTCCCCATACACCCACTACTTGACAAACTCTAATCAGACGTCAATAGACTCATAGTGCCAGGACGATATCATTAATCGTATCATTGTCCCAGCCTTGTCGGCGTCCCACCAACAAGTCCGCTCCTCCTCCGCAGTCTCCATCTTCAGCTCTCCGTAGCGGAATTAATAATCTCCACACTAGACTCCAACACCATGAAAGTGGGCTTACTGCAAGCCATGACCACTATCGTCAAGAGACGGATGATTACCAAGTCCATCTCTCTTTTGGTTGGTCGCTTCTTCTTTTAGGCAGCTGAAAGTGGGCGGTCGGGATAATTCATGTCTTGTATTGCCGACCATAACGGTGGCCGCGTGCCCCGGGATCACTTATTCACAAGTTCATACGTAACAGAGCTGGAATCATTGTCTAGGAATGTAGACGTTCGGTGTTTGATAATTGTATATAAGGATGGCCGTATATCTAGAAGACGAGAAGGTAAATCAGCATCCAATTCCAAGCAACTATAACAAGTATATCTTCTACTACACTTTCCTCTACTCATCACCATCATGACCTCTTCCAAGCTCATTACTGTCTTTGGAGCAACTGGCTCCCAAGGTGGGAGTGCCGTACAATCACTCCTTCAGAACAAGTTCCAGTCCTTCAAGATCCGTGGAATCACTCGTAATCCTGAGTCTGAAAAGGCAAAGGCTTTAGCCAGTCAGGGTGTTGAAGTCGTAAAGGCTGATGGCCTTGTCAAGCATGAGCTGGTCGAGGCGTTCAAGGGCAGTTGGGGCGTTTTCGTCAACACAAACTCGGATGATCCTGTAAGTCATAATGGTCAGCAGGCGAGCCCTCATTGACACAGTATACAGTCTATGAACCAGTCGGACGGGCCTACTGAGCTTGATGTGGGCAGGCATGTTGTAGATGCTGCCGCTGAAGCTGGAGTGGCTCACTTCGTGTATAGCGGCATGGCCTCTGCTTCCAAGATCACTGGAGGTGCTATTCCCGCTCGTGCTTTCGATAGTATGCTATTCCTCTTTCCCCTGCATCGGTAGTGCTAACTTCTTGCAGCAAAGAGCGCCATCGGTGAGTACGCCAAGGATAAAGGCGTCTTTGAAACTGTCAATATCGTCAGTTCCGGTTGGTATTTTGAAAATCATCTGGTAGAAGAACTCGCGCCTGCACTGGGCGGATTCCCTTTCAGCCCTGATGACGAAGGATACTTGACCTTGCACATTCCTCACTGGGGCGGTAGTGGCGAGATCCCATTCATCGCCATCGGAGACGATTATGGTGACCTCGTCCATGGTATCTTCCTTGATCCCGCGAAGTACAACGGACGTCTAGTCCAAGGCATTAGCGCTAGCGAGACTTCTCAGAAGCTTGTGTCTGAATTTGAAAAAGGTATGTCTCTTCATAGATCAGTTTCCCCTTTCTCCTTGCTAATCACTCGGTAGTGACTGGGAAGAAAGCGCGTTTCGTGCCCATCGAAGATTGGAAGTCGATGGAGACATATGGCGATCCAGGCTTCGAGACGGTCAAGTACATGTTTGGTTTTTGCCAGCATTCTGGCGGCTTGTATTACGGAGTTCCTAATGATCTGGCTCCTGCTGGTGATCTCAAGGCGAGGGCGGCTGAGGCTAAAGGGGCTGGTGATGGGAAGCTCATGACCCTGGAGCGCTTCTGGCAGAAGTATTTTACTTCCTGAAGAAGGAAAATAAGACTTCTGGGCATCCATGATAGTTTGTTGTTGACTAGAGTCGGTCCAGACTGTTTTGATCTGTAGTACTTCATCATTAGCCATGATTTGGTCGGTTTGGATAGTTAGTGCCAAGGAAATTTGATTTCGTCATCTCGCAACAATACCTTTATGTCTTTCAAACGGCGTTTACGAACTTGTACTAGGGTAACCTTGCATCTAGAAGGTATTAAAGGAAGTTTGGGGATGAACTGTGGCTTGTGATATGTCGTTTTCCTACGCGGGAGGCTGCATATTATTGAACCAATACTGTCTTTCCAGAAGTGATCTAGAAGAGAAACATTGGGCGGTGTGCCAGGGTCTAGAAACTCCTAAACAAAGCTAGGAGGGGATCAACTGCATCAGACCAAACTAAATCACTTGCATCATCCACTATTGTTTTCTGTGCAAGTGTCAACATAGGAGCATGTACGTACTCCTTTGTTCTTCAGTGTTTTTCTATTTGATATTCCTGGACCATTGTTCCCTAAATTTTACTTCTTTGCCCCTGTTGCAGCTGCTATTTGGATTGTGATTCACAGGCACCGGGACGGGCTACTCTGCGTGGCTATAAATTCCCCCACGAGGGGCAGGAACCTGCATCTCCTCTCCTGCACCACACAACTCCTTCATCACAACACAGGAGCCAAAGTGGTATCATTTTTCTTCCAAAAAGCAACATATCCACTGTTCATTTGTTATTTTATTCCCTCTAGAGTGTTCTCTCTGCATTTTCTTATCTGCAGCTCGGCTGAGCGCCGCTGCCGGGTTCTTGCAGGCGCAGAAAGAAGGAACAAACACTCCCCATTCTTCAGCATTTGTGAGCTTTCTTTTTCACTGAAGCTTCCTTTAGCTTTTTCTTCTTTTGTGCCTTTATCTGCTCACCGCGTTCTTCTCTCATCATACTGTGGTCTCACTAGAGCTCCGACTACTGTTCTTTCGCCCCACGTCGCCGCCGCCATGAATGACAACATCGACCATGAAGCTATGGTCCGGGCAGCCTGCCTCGTAAGTCTTATTTTTCTTCTTTCATCTTTCTTCCTGTTTACGAGACCAACTTAATAATTAACTCTTGCTACCTAGGCCGACTTGGGCCGTTACCGCCAGGAGGAGCTACCTTTGAGCAACCAAGCCCGTCGTGGTCCTTCCTTCGCCCCGAACAAGAACAACGGATCCAAAAACATCGACCCGCACCTAAAGATCAAGCTCATCCACAAATGGGGGAGTGCCAAGATCGAGGATGAAGAGAGCCGACAGATGGAGGGCCTTGAGATCGAGGCGCGACCTTGGGCCAAAGGCCGGGTGGCAGAAGCTTTCTCTACCAACAAGATTAAAAGGTGAGTTACCGTATACCTGATTAAAGCATGTCAACTCTCTTCTAACACCTTACGCAGTGGTCCGCCCCCTCGCATTTCTCCCCGTAAGCCCGAGACTTCTGCCCACGGCAATGGAAACAGTATCGCAGATTATTTTAAACCACCAACAGACGGATGGAAAAAATGCGTCGTGGCACTGGTCGAGAAAAGCCCCATTAATGATCCCATCACTGTCAAGTGGGGTTCTATACAGAACGCATCAACACCCTCGCTTGCTTCTCAAGGTGTGGTTCCCAAGTCTGTTCAGGGGCCCGTATCCAACAACGGTCTATCAACCGGTACTTCTGGAAACGAATCATCTAAGGCCAGCGCTCCTCTCAGTACCCCTCTGGAAAATTGTACTCCACGAGTCGTCCTGAGTTTTACCCTTCACCGAAAAGGTTTCGACTCCAAGGCCGTGGAAACTATCATCGGAAGCGGATATTGCCAGGTTGTTCCGGACAAGAACGAAGCCCTTGGCTTTGCCAGTTCAGTCATGTTGAAAGTCCATGAAGAGAACGGCGGCTTCCTGGTGTTTTGCAGTGAGCTCAAGGGGGATAAAATCCTCGACGTCCTGGACCTTCGCAAGCCAAGCCTTGAGGGTTCATACTGCAAGGTACAGGCCACAACGCAGGAAAGACCTTATTATATTCGGTTCGACAATGATGAACACGTCAAGGTCTTCAAAGCCTGTCTATCTAGGGTCAAAAAGGCTGTTTTGCTACACAAGATGCCGGAACCTAAGGATTCTCCTAAGGACGCTCCTAAGGTCTCTCCGAAGGTCTCTAAGACTGAAGTGACTGGAGTCACAGTTTCCAGTCCGAGCACGGCCACTAACGAATCAACCCCGACGGTATCTACTATCGTTCCTCAGAACGTGGTCCCAACCCCAACAGACACCGAGCTGATCCGTATGGATGACGACTGGGACAGCACTAACAACCCGCAAGTGCCGGCAATTCAAGCGGCTGTGAACCCTATGGTCGTACTTGTTCGACGATGCCTCGCGTACTTCAGCGCCGAAGGTAACTTTTGTGCGGGCACAATTGCAGGGATTGAAGACGCGATCTTTGATCAGTGGAAGAGCCAAGGCTTCCTGGAAGATTGTAGCGAGAGGGAACGAGAGGCTGCGTTTGCCATGCTTCGAACATTTGTGAATGTAGAATTGATCCTCTCTGGGAAGAAGCCACCAGGCAAGGCTACCCAAGCTCCTGAGCAGGTCGAGAGCTTCAACAAGCGTCCCAGGCGTGGAGCCACCCAGGGACTAGGTTCCTCTTGCTTCGCAAAGAAGCCCTTTGCTTACGAAGGCAGCTTTACCGGCCCTCGCCCTCGCGCTGCTTACAAGTAGGGCTCAGGACCCTTCGCCGATTCCTGAACGAGGAGAGAATGGAGTTTTAGGGACATTTCGATGAATGAAGAGGCAAAAAAAGCGTATAGCGGAAAGTGTAGAGAATTAGATATAGTAATTGAGGAAGCTTTTTAAGGAGTTTTATTCTTTTGATGACTTTTGTCTTGGTATTCTTGCAATAATTGTTGTGAGTCTTTATCCAGGCCAGTGCTTGTGCTCAGGATTTCTTTTGCCAGTTCTTCAGCCTCCTTATAACGACGGAAGAAGTAATGTTCTTCAACGGCATGAATGACCTCTTGGATATCCATTTTGGAGGCTCCTGGACCTAGCGGCAACTTGATTTTCTGGTATATCTATTTAATTAAAGTCAATTTTAGATCGTCAATGAGTAGGCAGAGGTCCTTACATTGCCGTTCTCGACCTTGGCCTCATACCCCTTCTGGATGACTCGCCAGGCCTCCTCTGATTGACCTGTTCGACGGGACTTTGTGTCTACCTCGTCGGCCTCATCGGAGGAGACGTCTGCGAAGGCGAAATTGGCAAGAGGGTCTTCTTCATCCATTTTGAGTTTGAGAATTGAGGAGATGAAGATAGAGGCTTATTGGTAGCAAAAAATTAGCCTCCTAAGTCTTTGGGTGAAGAAATAACTAGTCTAAGAACTATGGGCTGAGGAGCGTAAATTGACCTACTGATTTTGTCTCTTATAATTCCAAGGGAAGGTAAGTTGAACTGATTTTTTGGGAGTTGGTGATGGGACGGACCCACCTGGGTTTCTTGCTGATTGGCGAGTAGCTAGAGCCAGCGTTTACTTGAATGAGAGAATAACAAAGTTCAAGAAAGTCCTATAATATAAATCTTAAACTCATGCAGCGGAAGGATATTAACGAAATACGGATAATATTTAGTATCATGCTGTTAATCCAAAATCATGCAGATCATGCTTTCGTCAAAGAAGCGAATACTATGACTCGACATGGCCACCAAGCAAGAAGCAGGCAAAGACGACTTTTACAATCAGACAATAAAGAGAATCAAACAGCAGCATTGGAGTCAATTAACCAATGAATCTTATCTTGATCTTCAGCAATCTTTTGATACTGTACAGTGACAACTCTCAACCACAGCTCTCACCCAACCCATACAAATTAGCAGCCAAAACAGAGTTTCATCCCAAGCCCAATCTAAACATAGAATAAAAGCATCGCATTCCCAAAATCCCATGCTCATCTCATTTTTAGACTTTCCTAGTTGCCCACCTTCTTCGGTCGGTGCGGGGGAAAAGAAAGGGGTTGCAGCCACCGTTGTTCGTCGGCCGGATGGGAACGGATTCGGCTGTAGAACATAGCGAATGCCGGGCAAAGACCGTCAAGAAGCGATGAATCTATGTATGGGTGGCTGAATCAAGATGATGGTGTGTGAGATCGGTTCAGCCGTGGAGACTATGTTTGAGAAAAGCTTTCTTCCTGATTGCCGCGGCTGAGAATTAGTATCTGGTCATCAGTCATAGAATGACAATTTGGTCACGATGATGAAACAATGAGTAAATGACTGATTTAATAGGTTTCATGATTAATTATTCTAATCAGTGACTCTATCAAGAAGCCCGTTCTAGGCGATGAACCCGAGGCATTTCCTCGGGGTTCATGTGCTCTCAACTGTCTAATAGACCGGGGGGGTATAGTCCGAAGAACTCCAAATAACAAAAGTGAAGCATCCTAATTTTGATGATGCTGAAATAAACAATAAACCGGTCTTTTGATGTGTAAAACTTTTGGAAATCCAGAACCGTCTAAACGCCTTGTAAAATGCTGCAAGCCTTTCTCCTCTTTCTCCGTTTTTAAAAAGTCGCGCCCGTTTATGCCGTGTCGTCGTTAGTGTGGTTGTAGCGGTGAGTAGTGGAGATTTCTGTGTGTCGTGTACAAAGTCCCCTCCTTGGCAGATAAGGAAATGCATGTCGGAGATAAGACGTGATTCGTATAAGTGCGGAGACACAAAAAGAGTCACTTATAGAACCTGGCGAGCCTTCTCCTCGGCGAAAGCCTTGCGGCTCATCATCAAAACGCGCTCGAAGCCTTCACGACCCTTGACAGCGTTCTCGCGGAAGCGGGAAACCATTGTGTCCTCGATGCTGTTCTTGATTCGCTGCCAGCCACCGCACAGAGCAGTGATGTTGGCGTTTTGGATGAACTGTGTCTGATGGTCGCCGAAAGGCTTATAGACAACTTCCTCTTGAACGTTGACGAGGTTGCTCCATGTCAAGTTCTGGCTAACCATGGTGACGGTCTTGTTGACAGGGTCGACGTAACTGGCTTCGTACATGAAGCTCTCATCTCCGGTGCCGCCGATGATAGTCTTGATCCAGTCGGGGACGGTTTGCTTGCATGTGATCAGACGCTCGGTTCGGAGGATACCTGTCGCGGGGTCGACTTCGCGGGAGAGTGTGTCGACGGCGATAACATGCTCAGACTTGTTGTTCCAGGGGCCGTACTTTGTCCAGTTGGCTGTGGACACCTCGTCCCAGGAGTAGTTGTAGGTAACGCTGTTGCTGAAGACCTTCATTGTGACGGTCGCGTGAGAGATAGAAGTCGCTCGCGTGTGGTGGTGGAGTAAGAAACTTTTTTTTTCTTTGGTGTTGGAAAAGAGGCTGATATTCCTTTGATGGGAAAAAATGAAGGTTAAGTTGGTGAATGCAAAATTGTTGGAAAAAATGAATGAGGGTTTCCTCCTTGTTTATATCACTCGCAGAAAATGAGGATTAAAGCAAGATCTCCAGTGGCGATGGAGTGACGGGCGTGAGGGTAAAGATGAGCAAAGTCAAGATGCAGATGGAGATGCGGCCTTTTTAATTGGAGACCGCTTGCAAAAATTATTCCATGTGAAAAAAGGGAAAAAAGGAACTTCTAGCATTCTCACTCGCTATCGCCGGCCGTCGGCTCTGGGCCCGAGCACACCCGCAGAGCTAGCTAATCCCGATATGGCTGATTACTAACTCTATAGAGAAAAGACTCTCGATCGCGATAAAGGGTCGGGATATCAAGAGGTTTTGATTGGTCCGGCTTGCAGGAGGAGGTCGGACCTCTGGTTCTGGTCTCGTGCAGCAAGAGGGGAGAGACAAGAACCTGGGAGGGCAAAAGCTGTGCCACAGAGTGGCGAGTGCGTCAATAATGGGGAAAAACCGGAGAACTATGAAGCTAAGCGTTGGTGATCAAGTCTCGAGCATTGGCCAGTCCTGCGAGATCGGGAAGGGATTAACACGGTCTGAAATCATATCAATTTCAGGGTTCTATACACGGATACTTGTGGAATGTACAGGAATCGATACATATCATCAGCATTACCAAAATAGGATTCAATGACATTTCTTATCATTTGTGCACATTTCATCATGCATCGCTCGAATCTTGCAGCCACCATAATTTCTGAGGGGATGTTACTTGCAGAAAAGAGTCACAACTACGGTCTACGTAACAACGCATAACTTGCATAATGCTAACAATCAACTTGATCCTATCAAATCCATCAATGTCTCATTTGCATGATAGTCTACAATAACATAGCGTGAGACGCATTTTATCTATGCTTCAACGTAATTCATATTTTTAGCTTAATCCATTTACATAGTCTGCATAGAAAGAGGAGAGTCGTATTTCAGAATCCAGCCATCTCACAGTCACTATAATTCCACATCTTTCTCGTCATATTGTTTAGTAGTCGTCTCCACGGCTGATGACCTCCTTCACGGTGGGTCGGATCAGAATGGTCTAAAATATGTCAGTCATCATCACAAGCGCATACTAGTTATCCAGGGTTCACTTACATGCTCAAACTGAGCGGTGTACGAGCCCTTCTTGTCACACAAGGGTGGGTACGCCTCGACGATACCAGCGTTGACCAGGTTGTTAAGCTGCAAGGCCGTTAGTTAGTTCGCTATTCCACAATTTATGTACGAGATACATACTCCAAGCAGGTACTTGTCCTGACCAATACGGTCCAGGTATCGGCGACAGAAAGGCAGGGTGCCAAAGTTCTTGTTAATCACGTTGAGAAGCGACTTGGCAGAGCTCAAGCGCAGATCAACGTGCGAGGAGTCTCCTCGCTTCGCGTAGTGCGACGTCTCCATATCGTCCCGGACGTATCCGTTACCGGTACTGCCAAAGGTCTCAATGGCGAAGACGTCGCCCTCTTCCATCTTGGTCTGGTCGTTACTCTTGACGATGGGTACGGCCTTGGTGCCGTGGATGCTGTAGGGCAGAATGTTGTGACCCGTGAGGTTGCGGATACTCTTGACGGGGTAGGTGGTTCCGTCGATCTCAACCTCGAAACTCTCCATGGTCTCCTGGATAACACCTCCAATCTCGCCAACGCGGGCGTCAATACCGGCCTCGGCAATACCAGCGTTAGTGGCCTCCTTGACGGCCTGGAGAAGGTTGTCGTACTTGTTGTCGAACGACATGGTAAAGGCAGAATCGACAATGCGACCGTTGACGTGGACACCGAAATCAACCTTCATGACGTCCTCTTGCTGCAGAACCATCTTATTGCCGGCGTTGGGAGTGTAGTGCGCGGCGCAGTGGTTGAGACTAAGACCACAGGGGAAACCCATGCCAGCCTTGAGACTGTCGCCCTCCTCCAGTCCAGCGTGTCCGGTAAGAGCACGAACACCATCCTCAATGCCCTCGGCGATCGAGGTCAAGGTCTGACCGGGCTTGACGTTCTTCTGAGTCCATTGGCGCACCTGGCGATGGATCTCGGCAGCCTCGCGGTAATCGGCAAGGAAGTCGGCGTTGAGGTTATCGAGATGGCGCTTCTCCTCGTTGGTGGTACGGTAGGTGTTCTCGTCCTTGTACTCGACCTCCTCTCCGGGAGGGTAGGATTTGTTAGGGAACAGCTGGCTGACCTGAACTCGAGGAGGGTCGCTCTGGCTGGTAGGGTTCTTCTTCTTCTTTCTGGGCTTTCTCTTCTTCTTTTTCTTGGCGCCACCTTCGCCGGGGGCGGCACCATCGGCTTCGTCTTCGGAATCATCGCCGCCGTGCTCGTCGCCGGCAGCGTCGGTGTTTGATTGTGCGTTCGCGCCGGGCTTCTGAGAGCCATCGGCCACTGCGGGGCAATCTATGTCAATCCTGGATTCAAACTGCAAAAGGTGCAAAACGTACCGTTGAGCTCCTTGAGAGCTTCAGTGGGGACTTGAGCTGCCATCTTGGCTAACCTAGTAGACGAGAGACAATTCTGCACGGCAAAGCAAAAACAAAGCAAATCGAAAAGGAAGAATTTGGTGGGAGGGTTGGATGGGAAGATATCACCCCACTCGTAAAACAGACACAAAAAGTTGGACACTCTTTGTCCCTATTGGCGCGCATTCTTTTCTGTCGGATTAACTCCCCGCTGACAGATTTTGACATGACGAAAGTGGATTGGGCATTCATTGGTGTTGGCACTTTGAATGATACGCGCGGTTACATTGTGAGAAGATGGCTGCATTTGACGAGGTGGATTGGTTATTAATGAGTAATATTTCATGTACTTAAAATAGTACATTGGCTGCATGTTTATCAATGAGCCAGA